GTACGTCCATCGCGATTGGCAGCAACCGGCATGATCGGAGCGGACCTATAAATATTGCATATAAAGATGTCCTGTAGTATTCCTTTCATAAAAATGGTATAATTAATTACCTTGACACCACATTAGTAGTATTAGTAGTATCTACATTGCACCCGTGCGAAGCGGGGCAGGGTTCGCAAATATTTTCTAAAAAGGACTTCGTTTTTTATGATTTGTAAAGGAATAGTCTTAAAATTGATTTTAGTTTTTCTCTATCGGAAATTCTGAGTCAAGTGCCCTGTTAGTTTAGCTATTAGTGACCCACCCAGCTTGAATATCTGTGTGAGCACGATCATTTGTTCTGTATCTTGATGTAATTTATCTATAATATGTGTACTTAAAAATATATGGGTATATTTATCAACAGTCGTGTTACCATAAGGCAGGATCTGCCAAGTTGTCATTTTTGTTAATTATCAAAGAATGTAGTTAAGTGACGTTGTCCGGGAAAAAATCTTAAAAAGTTTTTAATTTTACTTGCATGACGTAATTTTTATTTCAAGTTATAGTTATAGCAAATTACAAAGCGTGGCATTGTAATTTGCTATATAGCAAAGAAGATAGAAGAAAAAAGATAAGTTTAATCTAATATAGATTAAACTTATCTTTAAAATATATACCGGACAAGTGTAACCAGTGCACGTGCACCAAGGATTAAATACATACCTAGTTTTATGGATTGTTGATGTTAAATCCGGCCATCCTTATCAACTTCATCATTATCAACAGCCTTAACAAGCCACTGCCGCACATAGACCTCTCCTTAGAAAGTAGGTTTTGGCCTAATCAACATACTAAAATTAAAATTGAGGTTGGCACTAAACCAACTTCGTTTTGCGATAGAAGTAATTTTATTAAATTTATCGATTTAATATGTACAAAAAGGATCTTCTGTTACAGAATAAAAAGCTTTTTACATTACCTACGGTATATTTTATTTTCACTTAATTTTATGATTGTAGGTCACAGATAAAAACCTTAAACCTGGGTCCACGTGTTGCCATCTGACCAGGATTAACGATATAACCTAGAAAGGAACTCCCTGAAGGCCCTGACGGACTTCGGCCGACAATACATACACCCTTTCACACTGAATATATTTAATTATTTAAAGTCAAGGAACGAATCTAAGTATTAAATATTAATTTCAGCTTATCAAGTTCATATGTTTTTGAAATTGGATTCGTCATTCAGAGAGACAGTTGGACAGACAAACAAGTGATTCTTAAATGATATCGTTTTTCCTTTCAAGGTACGGAACTCCTCATAACTATGACTTTGTGTAGTAGTGGTGCGCCATAGGATTAAATGGTTCGATTATATGAAATAAGCGGCGGAAGCCTAGTGGTTAAGGAGTTGGACTTGCGATCAAGAGATCGTGGGTTCGAATCCTGACCAATACACTACCGACGTGAACCCACTCCTAACACAAGCAATTTAGCTTAGCTAGAGGGGTTATCGACTAAAGTACATCTATGAGGATAGGGGTTAATACGAGTAGTTCTGATCCTTACAGCGCTAGATGGCGCTGCAAGTAACGCGTGATTGATTCTAGAATATTCGTGTTTGTCTGCAACGGACTGTCGAATACTAGGAACTTTATTCCTATGTGACTATTAATTTCCTATGTGACTATCGACAATGCACAACCCGATGTGGTGATTTTCCTCGCTTTTGTGCGATTTCTAAAACGTGCAATGTTAAAAATACATTAGGTACAAAACCCATTTTAGTCAATAATTAAGCTCATAAACACACACGTATAGGTGTGTACTTATACACATACGCCCACAAGAACATACAAATAGACATGTAAGATTCTTAAATCTATTCCAATTTGAATAATAATGTACTTATTTTAAAAGCAATTAATTGACTCTATGGCTCTCTTAAATACTCTGTTGACTGTTGCCTTTGACACTAATTAATTTTAGTAAGTAATTAAAAACTTACAAAAAAAAACAAAAACAAAAAATGCTCTAATTGAAAATAACTCTAAAACTAATAAAATAAAACTCATTACTCAAAACAATAGCACTATACTCAACATGACCCCATTTCAAAAGCTTTGAAAACTTACTCCAAAATATGATGCGTCTCCTACAAGGTACAAAATGCATACATTCGAATGAATTAAAATCGATAATGAGCACTTCACTAAATCCAGACGTTGGCGTCGCGTCGCGTCAGGGGTGCGCCGCGGCAAATGCGAGGGGCCAAACACCCTCCTAAATTGTACCTACCCTTAGTAGATTAGGTGCTTTGTTTCCCATTCTAAATACAACAAGTGAGACATATACATAGACAATATTTGAACTACTACTGAACTAGAGGACGTTCCGTTATGACCGTAGGGCAACGTACCTCTCTTAAACCTACAACTATAGCTATCAGTGTCCCACTTATTTAAAAAGAAAATGCGATAAGTGGTTTGGAAAAATCCATCAAGGATTTCTTTTCTTTAAGTAATAATTTAATCTCTTTAAGGGCATTATTATTTGTAAAGTACATAATAAGTACTCAGTTTTCCAACCTCACTTGAGAGGTGGAAATAGAACGGGGAACTATCCAGAAGAACAGATAGAAAAAAACTTCTAGTTTTTTTTTTTATTTACTAATAATTGTTAATGCATTTTTGTAATAGCAAACAATTTAAAAGTAAACTTAGTCTCAAGTGATGTACTATCGAACGCTGCATTTTATTTAAATTTATATCAATAGATACTTCTTCCAATATATACAATAGAAAAATCTCCTGCTGCCGGGGCAGGCCATGTTAGCGGTGCAGGCGAATTTCAATTAAAAACCACACCAACAGGCGGCCTTAGACGCCCTACACGGTGAGGACACGGACCACGTTAATCAACACAGTGATTGATGTCTCTGTCCTGACTTGCCCAATCACAGGATGGATATATCAGGCCTCTCCTAACCACTAGATCGTTAGTCTCGTTTACTTACCTAGTTTTGCGGTATTTCTTACCTTAACAACATCACCCTATCCATTTTACCTTTTCTCAATCAACTCTCTTCTTTTGATCGGTCTGAACAATGTTATCAAGTAGAAGTTAGCATCAGGTATTAGAACAGAATGATGATAAAAATATACTTTTTTTTCCAAGATCTGGCAAACTTAAAGGAGCAATAAGGTGGTAGAAATGTTTCTATCTTTACCAGTTGCAGTCTAAAAAAGTTTAAGATATTGAAAAGAAACCTTGAGTTCATTCTTTTAGGAAGTTTCTATACCTACATAATAATACAGTACAAAACTAAACACACAAACGTACGTACGGAGGGTTCTCCCACTTCCAGGAAAGCTGTAAATGATACTGTCGATTTTGACGCCTACTTGACGCATGATCGAGGGGTATCGTTTTCGCATGATGGCTTCGAATCCGTCAGTTCTCGCCTCATTAAACTTGCTGGATGTATTATAGTAGTTTACGTAAAGTAAGTAGCAAGTTTTGGAAGTAAACCTTTTGATCATTCAAAAGCAAGTTCTCTGACACAACTTACAGAGGAGTAGGTACCTACTCATTTACATGATTTTAAACTCCGATGTTTCCATAGAGGATTTGTATGTTCCTGTGTGCATTTCTTTCGTAATAATGCTTCCTAACTTGCACTTGATAATAATATTTGAACGATAATAATATTTGTTAACGAGTTCTCAAGAACAGTTTTTAAGTATAATCTAATTAACGTGGGTAAAATAATTCACTAAACAATTTCAGTACTTTTAGTTAGTTTAACAAGTCATCGATTGTAGGATAGTTTAATCGATTCACAAAAAGTTAAAAGACGTACTTTAAATCGATTTTAGTGCTTACTTGTTCGGCGCAGTGTTGCCAACCTAGTAGATTTTCCACTAAAACTGGTGGTTTCGTGGTGATGAAATTTTGAATTAGGTGGCTAGTGGATATTTTTAGTGGTAAGTAAGATTGTAGAGGACTTGACTAGGACTGTTGAAAGATGAATTTTGAGAACTGTATGTGTACGTACGTTTGATAGGAAAGAAAGGATGTGGATTAGGTAGAAGTGCTCAGTATGAGAAGGATTATTAATTTGAGGCAATGGAATGTGTAGGCTTTGTGCCAAAGAGAGGAAAAGTTTTCGGAGTTGAGAAAGAAGTCAATAATGTGGTCTAAAACTTCGAGGACGTAATCCAGGATGGTAACTATCATTACACGGCTTGCAAATCATTGCGTTACAGCAGACAGACCGAACGATCTTTTTGATGTTCCCAGAACGGCACAGTAGAAAATTTAAAATTGACAATATTGGGACGACTAGCTATATAATTCAGGGCTTCAGGGTCCGAATCCTTTATCTGCTATGTTAAGAATACGCTGTGGTTTGAAGCTGGAAGGAGAACGCTGAAAGAAACATAAAATTCCAATAAAACAAATCGGAACCATGGAATTGGATTAATCTGGAACCGACGATGATGGTGCTGACAAAAACGATTGGTATCAGTATTCAATTTTAATAATATTAAGAAACTAGTTATTAATTTACTTATGCGTTTCTTTTGTAATAACAAAAAAAAAATTAGTGGATAATTTAGTGCCTATTAGAGTATTGTCGTTTTTCGTCAGTGATTTTCTGGTGGCTTTAGATGTTGAATCTGGTGGAGAGTTTATTTAACTATTGGCAACACTGGTTCGGCGTCAATAAACTGTCAAAAGAAAATAACACAGTTACAGCACCAGCACCACGCTAAGGAATTAATAAAAATTTACTTGAGACTGTCTAAATAAATACCTTATATAAATAAGTGTTACTGTGGACTGTAAACGGTAATTCACGGTATACAGATACCAATAAGTTAAGCAAGTTTAGTTCAAATCAATCGACAACATCGTTAACTAGAAATATTTCTTGTGGTATTTATTTTGGTAAATTGATTGAAAATAGTAATAAATTAAAGTTTTTAACAGTTCAACGTGTATTAGTGTAATATGGCCGATGAATATGCAGCAGTTAAACGCGGGAAATTAATCTTAAAAGGAGATAAACCCAAGTAAGTAAAATAAAAACCACCTAATACTAAGCCATCTATCAAAAGTCTTGATTACAAGGAACTTGATATTTTATGAATTTAAGGAAAACACAACTATTGTTTTTACTTCCAATGCTGAATCTTGATGTGGAAATAACACTTCACTATCACTGTTAGGGACCATGTTGGTCAAATATCATTCACTCCATAAAGACGAAAAGAATAACTAGTTGTATTCATAGTCTTTCTTGAAAAACACCTCTTTAAATGGTTTTTTAATTAAATAGATGTAATTTTGTCAGTCCGTTGGTAATAGTGTAACTAGTTTGTGGACAGCCCTGGCAACTGTTGCTGGCTAATCACACGATTTCGTCTCAAAACCATACACATTATCCAAAAAAACCATTCAAATAATGAAAATTTCTTGACAATAAGGGTTAAAAAATTTACAAATGTTATATTTACAGGGGCAAGAAACGGAAACACAAGAGTGACAAGAAAAGTCAGGCAGATCGGACTGATGTCAATGATGACTCAAACAAATGCGGTGGCTGGTGGAAGGTCACAAAGATAGAAGATATAACTGGTTCTATATCCATTGAATTTGGTACCAACGCCTATATTTCTGCTCTCGACAATGGCTTATTTACAATTGGAGCTCCTCACGATGAAGGCACTGGTCCATCACCTGAAGAAATTTTCACAGCTTTCCCAGCAGGAGAAAATAAATTTGCCCTTAAATCAGGGTATGGGAAATATTTAGGTGTAAGTAAAGATGGAACCGTTATAGGAAGATCGGATGCTGTCGGTCCTATGGAACAGTGGGAGCCTGTATTTCAAGATGGTAAGTTTTGTATTTTATAACATATCCGATACATTTGATTGAGACTGTTAAAATAATATGTGCCACTGTTCTTTTCCTGAAGGTTCTGCAATACTAAGTTTTGAGTTAGGAAGTTATGAAAGATAATACTATTTTGAGTCCTGAGTTGAATTATTTTGCTTTATAGACAGAACACAGGACTGTCCCTTACAGGGTTGTGTATTTTGTAACTGAAGTACTCTTTGGCATTCTTGCTTTTAAGTAATAGACAGCCAAATCATCATCAACCTATTGCAGTCCACTGCTGCACAATGGCCTCTCCCATTGCACGCCACTTAGATCGATTTTGGGCTTCTTGCATTCAGCTCCTGCCAACCACCTTGCGCAAATTGTTACTCGACCTGGCCTGTCCTAGACAACCTTATTCAAACAATTTAGTTATCTTTTATATAGTAAAGTACCTATACTTAATGTCAAGGACTGTTATTTCTGTGTGCATAGATGTGTAATTCAATGTTATTTTTATTTACACTATTATAACATAATAATCTATTTAAATATTAAGCAGTTGGCCCAGCCATTCTTGAGTTACCGTTTGTAACTCAAGAATGGCTGGACCGATTTCTGTAATCTTTGATTTGATGGATTGGGCAGAAAACCCAGAATAACAGAATAATTATTTTAAGATTTACAAAAATTTACAGAAAATTCATTTTCTTGTGCATTATGTATGACAAAACTAAGTGTGGAATTATAGCTAAAAACGCAGGTGAAACTGCAGAGAAACGCTAGTTATGTATATATTTAGTTTATTTAGTTGTATTTATTGTATTGTATAATGGCTCACATCACTTCTAAGACTCAGCATATGTGTGTATAAGGCCCGCGGTTCTCTGATCTTTTTCGTCGGTCGTGTGTCAGAGCATCCATGACTTTCAGTAATAACTAATATACGAATAAATAGTACGTTTTTGATCATTGACGTCACCCATTTAACCTGTGTCTTAGTTTTTCATTTCATCTACTGATTTCCAGGGAAAACAGCAATCCTGAGTTCCCTAAACAAGTTCATGTCAGTAGACCCCGAAGACGATTCTGTGCTCGCTAAATCCACATCAGCAGGAGAGCACGAGTTCTGTAATATACGAAGTAACAGGACCAAGGAGGAGAATAAAGCCATCATACCTGATGAAGAACAGGCCGATTTGTCACAAGTTGAAATTAATTATGTGTAAGTATTGCCAAAAATTACAGTAAAATTTCATGGGTGGTAATCATATTTATAAAAGAACCGTTCTCTCACGTGTATATTATGGGAATGTCTGACTGTAATAATAATAATTACCTGACACATCTTACACACAGCCGCATGGCACCAAACTACTTGTGTGTGGCTGTGTGTGAGATGTGTGAAGTGGTCTGATTACCATAGTACAGGCTCTGCGTAGGTACTGCCTAACAAATTTTTAAATATATATTTAATTATAGATACTTGGAACTTATGATCAGATATTGTAATAGACACCATTTCCGTTGTGTTAAGTTTTAATGATAATGTTGAAATTGGTACGTAACAGTAAAACATAACAATTGTATTGATTACAACAAAAAACAACTAACATAATTTATAAAACTTGATCCTATATTATGCAATAACTATTCATTTTTTTTACCGTATCTTTGTTTCAATTCATCTGCTATTTTTAAAGCAACTTCTGGATAAAGATTTTAAAGCAACTTCTGGAAAAATAATTGAAATCGATAAATGCATAAGTTGTGTTCGAACTTCATTACGGTGGTGTCTTCATACAGTGGTCGGTACAACGCCTGTCGCTGCGCCCATTGGTCTCCTGTTAGGAGACATGAGTTAAACCATATTATATAGGCCTATAAAAAATTTCACTTGCTTAGCCATAGGCCTCTAAAGTTCTCTGTTTTAGATTTCAGTTTTATATTTGTGTGTATGGTATTGATTTAGGACTCTTGCAATCTAACATTAGAGTCTAATATTAGATAGCAAGAGGTCTAATGATTAGACTATAACCCTTAGAGTCATAGCAGTGACCATTTCGATACATAAAATGTTATCTCATAAGTAGCTGTTTAGCTACTGAACTGCATACATTACGCAGAGATTTTTCATTTATGTTGTGACATTGCCATGTGATTTAAATAGGAATAAAAAAATCATTTTAAGTATCTAGAACGACTTTATAACCAACATTCCTATTTCGAGGTACCAAGGATTTCTTTTCTAGGTCATGTCTGGTTCCCCGGCTACTGGTACCTGAGACGGAGTGCATTTCTAGTTGGTTCGAGTCCGACCATGACCATCCTACTAGTCATCAAGTGGGTCCGAAAGGGAGGGAAAAAAATAGGTACCAAACAAAAGCTTTGAAAAGTTAAATTTTATGTTGCAGAAAGAAGTTTCAAAAGTTTCAAGACAAAAAACTACGCTTGAATGACGGCAGTGTGAAGGAACTGAAAATAGCTAAAAAGGAAGGCACCTTGCACGAAACACTATTAGATCGTAGAAGCAAGATGAAAGCAGATCGTTATTGTAAATGAATATATATATTTTATTCTATGCGAGTGTTTATTTTTTACAAAAACCTAATAATTTTGGTAAAAAATTATAATAACATAAATCACACGTCTCACACACGGCCGTCTGATCCCAAACTCGGCAGAGCCTGTACTATGGTAACCAGAGAGCTTATAAACATACTTTTATATTTTTAAATACATACATATTATAGATAAATTACACCCAGACAAAACAAATGGCCATGCTCATCACACAATATTGGGTGGGAATCGAACCCACGACCTCCTGCTTAGCAGTCAAGGTCACTAACTACTAGAATTAAGGCACGTCCAAAGCAACGAAAGATTTGTTTCACACTAGGCCCAATATTTTTTTTTAAAATTTGACGAAGCACTACCTCGGAGAGATTACTTCTGTACTAATTGCATTAGAAGATTTGCTGCTTAAATGCTTACGAAAATTATTTGAATATAAACGGTCTAAGTGTACAATAAAACAAATAATAAAATAACCAATTCTTTTTAATGATAGCATAACACAAAATTACATTTTTCAAATAATGATTTGGTAAACAAAACACATTTATTTTCAATATTTTTATTTATTCCTCATGTAATAACATCGGGTATAGTAAAATGTCTCATAGTTAATTCTGTATACACTCAAAATGAGGCAACCGTTATAATCCCAATTATATTTAAAGGAATTTATTCGAAACGACCAATACACAGATGACAAGCATAGTATAGTATGCGTCAATGTACCTAATACAGATACTAGATACATGGATTATGATTATATGTAGTCGTAAGTCCACAATTAACTAGTGCCTACACTACAAACGGGAGCGCATCGCTGCTTAGAAGGGACATTGGGAGTACAAATATTGGAAACCCACATTTGTAAATAGGCTCAAACAATATCACGATATCGCTTTAGCTATAGAATCACATCTAAATTGATGACAGCTTATATAGTTCAATATTACTGTCACCATTCATAACCATCGCAACTTTTAATTTTGTAAACTCGGTATTTTTACACAGAGAAATATTTTCACTTACCATCAGAGAATTTGAATATACTACCTACACATCTTATTTTAAATGATATCTACACCTAAGGCTAGTTGTTTAGACTAGACACAGAGCTAGTCTATTGGAACATGTTTTGTAGTGGCCTCAGTCCAGTCTAAGATTGCGTTTACAGTAAATATCAAGTCTATTACTTCCATGAAACCAACACGTCTCCAACATTCTTAAACGACTAAGAAATTTAACTACAAAGACAAATTAAAAATAAAAACTTAATGGTTTACATTTATTTATACCTTTATGCATAATATTGAAACAATTGGAAACGTGTTGCAAATGGTCTTATAACATTTATACTTTGCATTGTGTTCGAAATGGATGTGAAGCCAAGTTGACTTCACTTTCGCAATACATTACACTAAACCCACGAAGGTTCGTACTCGGTTCAAAAATAAACATGGCGGTTCATTATTATTTGTCTATTGTACTGTTTTATTGAAAAATAACATCGGTTCGGTGGGTTTTTCATTTAATAATTTAATTTTTTCATACACTTGAGATTGCTTTTATTCAATGAAGTGTGCTCGTTACACTAAGAGGAGCTTGATAAACCATATACATAGATCTATAAAATGCTAAAAATATACAAGTTCCACTACATCTAGGTGGATATGAGACAAAAATAATACACATTAAATACATTAAAATGTCGTGATCATACAAATATCATGCTCCTCGAATCGACCAATCAATAGTACAATGATAATTTTATATATATTTACATTTGTGAACGAAAATATTAAAATAACATATCTTAACTTGTGCAGAATGTTCTCCATAAACAAAAGTTAAACAAATGGTAGTTTTACGTAAGAAATTATACATTGGTGGGCGTCATCAGAATGGGATCAGGAGGCAATCACGCCGCTCACTTCACAGCGCCGAACCCGCGTGACACGACATTACTATACAACAAAAACATATAATTAGTACAATCATAAAATATAAAGAAATATTTTTTTTAATGTCAACCTGAATATTCTTTTACCTAATAATGACTTTCCCATGAAGGTTCCGTCCCATTCTGAAAGCGCGCGAAATGTTAAAAAAAAACAATCTCATTTCGTTAATCTTTTTTTTTAATAAGATAACAATAGACTAGGCTTTCGCACACTAACTAAAAATTAAAAATATTGTCCATAGAAATAAAAAAATCTTTTGTTTTCAAAGTAATTAGTTTAAAACTAACAGAAGGAATCGGTTTTTGGTTCCTTTAAATTAAAACGAAGCACTTTAACGAGATGAAAGACTCGGTTCTTAAATTATAGTTCGTACAAAAATTGCATATTTCTAAGTAAATAATTTGATTACCGCCTACTAATACATTAAGGTGTCCTTTTTGTTTCAATGTATTGGTTTGGTTGGTTGGTTTTTAGGGTATTGGTTTTCAAATTTAAATAGCGAAAATTGGGATTTCTAATGCCTCTACAAACGGTTAGTAATATTTGTGCTTTATCTACTGTTGAGAAATAAGTAAATATGTAATATAAATAATAATAATATTCTACCACATTCACACAACGCCATCTAGTCCCAAACTAAGCAGAACTTGCGCTATGGATACTAGACAACTGATATAAATACATATTTACTTTTTTTTGTAAATACATACATATTATACATAGAAACACCCAGACCAAATCAAACATTAAATGTTCATGCATGTTTGCCTTGAGCGGGAATCGAACCCGCGACCTTTGGAATGGCAGTCCGTTACACAAACCACTACACCATCCGGCCGTCAATAAAATGTGTTAGATGTCATCTTTAGACAGACATCTACTGTTAGTGTAAAAACAAGTACAAATCTGTTGATCCTTTTCAATTCCTTTAATTTGTGTAAAAAAAAACTGATATTCAACCAGTTCGGTCACAAGTACCAGCAAGCCTATACCAGCTAGTCCAATAATCCTAACTACCTACATGTTTGAATTTGTGAAAGCTTATCGAGGTTTGGCAAGCATAGGGACCACAAATATATATACAATTCCATTAGGTTATGTTCTCGATCAAATATTTATTCTTGGCTGATTTTAGGCCGTGTTAATCTTTTAAACAAGAATATTGGGTTGCATCCTACTCTGGTTAATATTATTCCCCATCTAGACCGAAAATAAGAGACTAGACTAGCATGTCTTCGTTCTTTTCTGGGTCCTGCTGTTTCTCCACATGTCTCTGATTAGCAGGATAGTACAGAAACATCGAAGAGTAAACAGGTTTTCAGTTTCTAGACATAGTCTTCTATCAATAGACCTCCTGGCTAGGCTAGGCTGCTTGGAATAGTGTACTACTGGTAGAAAGGTTTTAGCCTGATCAAGTTAGGAGACTCCTGGGAATCTTGTGGGTAAGCTTAGTTAATGTAAACGACTAGACTTTTTTTTTAATTTGATTAGCGTTGCTAATAAGCACATTTAAAGCTTTGCGAGTTGATGAATGCACATCGTGATCTCTGAAATCTTTTCAAGCGAAAGAAATATAAAAAAATACATTCTAACAGTCTAATAACCGCAGGAAACACTTGTTACTGTCGATCGTCACTTGAATAACAGACGTCACTAAAAAGAGAAGAAGTGGATTTCCTATCTTCTCTAATATCCAGAAATGGTGTTTAAGCCTTCCTCTTTGTTAGTTGGCCTTTGGACGGGTTAAGGGTAACACCGACAGAAAGGTAAACGGAATTCAGTGTTTGTTACAGAAAAAACCGGTTATTGTCGCGAACAGCGTGCTTTGCAGAAAACTAGAGGCGATAAAATAAATGAGTCTACTGAAATAAATCAATTAATCACAGAAAAATTGTCTACTGTATTTTTTAAACAATGTAACTTTTAAAAATTTAATACATTTTTTTTTTTACGTTTTAATTAAAATTTTCATCAACAGCCTTTATAGTCCACTGCTGGACATAAGCCTCTCCTTAAAAAGGAGGTTTTGGCCTACTATACCACGCTGGCCAGACGGGTTGGTATAGGGTTCGTGTCAAGTTTTCTTTCTATCTGCAGTGCTGTTGTTCTGCGTAGTTTTTTCCCTTAGTCGGCTCTTACGACACCCACGGGAAGAATAGGGTGGTGACACTCTGTATTCTTGATCCGTCACCACACGGACAAAAAATTAAAATTTTATATCATACAAAAAATAGATTATACTTTACTAGATTAAGAATACACTACGGATTAAGAATACAGAGTATCACAACCCCTATTCATCACGTGGGTGACGTAAGAGCTACTAAGGAAGCAAACTACGCAGGACAACAGCACTGCAGAGAGAAGAAAAACTTGACACAAACCCTATTTCAATCCGTCTGGCCGTGCGTGGCGTGGTGTATTAGGCCAAAAATATCCTTTCTAAGGAGAGGCCTATGAACAGTGGACTAGTAAAGGCTGTTGATGATGACATTTAATAAAATAAATTAATTTTTAAACGTAAATTAATTAAACCACTGTTTTTTTTTTAATGCATCAATGATTTAATCAAAGAAAGACATTTTATGCATCTCGAATATAACATAATAGTTATTTTTGCACGAATTCTTGTTGAAACTTGAGATATTTGAGATCTATTTATACGAGGTATATTGTAACACAATAGATTCGAAGCAAAGATGTTCTGTAGAATTTATGGACATACAACCTGACCAGGAAAATACTTCTTCTACAACTTCTAAACTAATGTCTCAGGAACAAATATGAACACAAAAAAAGCAATTACATAAAATGAATCTATGATTTTACCAAAGCAATCTCAAGATTTCAAGTGATCGACTTAATAAAAACTCGATTTTACAATAGTATATTTTAATCGATACATGTTTACACTATTTTATATCGATATTCGTTTTTATTGCTGTTCTAAGTTTCGTCTCTGTATGTAATCCCATTATCAGTTTTTTTTAAGTTTGTATTTTTATTTTTTAATGCATAAATTGAACCTTTGTAAAGACTCATAACAGGGATACTGAAATACAGTCGAAATTATTTAGTCACTGCAGACTCGGTCGTAAATTGTGGAAGTGGGACAACAATATTTCTTTCTCTTTCACACTTATTGGTAGAAGTGCTATTACTTGTGCAGAAATGATTCTATGGACAAACTGACAAAACTTTTAATATTTATGCAAATATTACTATTATTATATACTAAATGATCTGTATTTTAAATATTTCTCAAAAAAACCTTCTGTTTTAATGATTTTAGGAAGGATTTCAAAAATCATTTTTCATCACAATTACGGCAATGTTTCTTTACGCAATTTTAATACAGGTACATTTAATTGGTATTATTACTTTGACTAGCTTGTTGATAGAATCTTTTATGTCCAACACGGTTTATATTATACAGATGATATAGATAGTTCAACTCAGTTGTGCGCGCGGCCCTATGTGTGCGTGGGCTTGTAAATATACAACTTTCATTCGTGTGGCAGTGACGTGGTGCTCGGACAACGACTGCCACACGAATGAAAGTTGTATATTTACAAGCCCACGCACACATAGGGCCGCGCACACAACTGAGTTGAACTATCTATAGTTGGTACCAATATAGACGATATATAAATATATAATACTGCCTTCATCTTTTATTTCTCAGTAAGAAATGTGAATCACTGTTGCTCGAGTGACTTTTGATCAATCTGCAGTGAGAAAATAATTCTACTATACTTTATGTTTTGGCAATCATTTTGTTCCACATTCAGTTTAATTTGGTTAAAAATTCACTTAAAAATTGGGATGTTAACTAATCGAAGAACTTACAATATAAACAAATGTTATTCAAAGTTCCTACCTATACAGGTAACTAATTTCATAACAATTAAATTAATTATAGTAACATTTTATTTTACTTAATTGAAAATGTTTTATAATCTGTTTTAATCATGATGTCATGGTGATAAAGGAGGAAGGTTGAAACTTAGTCATTTTCTACATGCATTTATTTATAGAACGGATAATTGAATAAACGTATTAAACTTAAAATGATATTGGGAATATCCGGAATATTTTTAGCCATTTAGTTGCATTAGCTCAACATCCCTACGGGGGAGGCGGTCGCGGTATACTCACGGCGGGGCTCAGCTGGGCGGGGCCTGTGCGCGCTCGGCGCGCAGCCAGTCCACGAACTCGTCGAGCATGACGGGCCACGCGCCGTCGGCGTCGTAGGAGGCCAGGTGCGCGTCCACGGCGCGGCTGAACTCCAGGATGTTGCACCACTGGTCGCGGTTGACGACGCGGTAGCGCCGCTCGCGCGCCAGGAACTCGCCCAGCGCCGGCCGCAGCGCCCAGCGCGGCAGCAGCACGCCCAGCAGCGCGCGCGCCGTGCCCGTGTCCAGCGAGCGCTGGTCCTTGTCCTGCCGACACCCACACTCTCAGCGTACATATTTATTTTTAATACACTTTCACAAAGATCTGGGGTTCTGGGGTTAAAAGTCTCTATTAAGATACCAAAAAAGTTTATAACGTTTTATTAACTCACAGACGTAACAGTAGTAATCCTGTACATTCATATATAATCATATCAAAGAAATCTGTTTAAAATCAGATATATTTTTGCCATCTCGATTTCATTATTAAGAAATTGAAAGTTCACATTACTAAGAAATCGATGCAAATGAACACAGACATAGTAAACGGCACATACTAGTTATACTCCGAGAGGTATCACACTCTTTTAAAATGAAATGATAATTTAATTGCAGAAATATGGTACATGGGCTGTTTATAGTTATTAGAAGTGAATTACATATTTCGTCAGTCTGTTCTGACATGCAAAATTTGAAACGTACATGCATATTACAACAAAAGATTGGTTTAATAACAAACTACTAAGCTCATGTCAATAAACAATTTACATAATGTCAAATATATAATTGCAATGTCAAATTTTTAATCCGATAATTTAATTCCAATATAGAACACAATATACAATAAAATATTATCAAGTGCTTTTGTATTTATCGCTCGTTTAGGTATTCGGTCACTGAGTATATCATTTTTTCCAAAAGCCATGTTTTCAATTTCCTTTTAAATTTCAGTAGGGGCAACGCCTTTAAAAAGCAACTAATGTCATCGGTTATTTTTGCTTTGGAAGGTGTTCACAACTATTTACATTACTTTTTGTATCTTTCTTTTTACCTGTTTAAACCTTTCACAATCTCACTTTTTATGACAAATGAGCAGATGGATCTCTTGATGGTAAGTCACTACCACCTCAAGGACATGAGTTGGGTCTAAAAAGCCCTCTGCTAACTTCACTTGTTCAGTTAATGCCATTTCAGTTGAGGCCATGGTTTCTCCCTTAGAGTTAAAATATTAAAACTAAACACACTTACCCTTGCAAAGTCATACGAATATCTGTATATAGCCTTAAATACATAGGGATCATTGAGTAAATTACGTAGGTATTCTAGTTTGTTCTGTAGTTTGTGCACACTATCACACTGTAACTCTGTTAGTCCTGGAACGGAAAAACACAACAGTTTATACAAATACAATTACATACGACGAATGGTGTAGTGGTTTGTGTAACGGACTTCTATTCCAAAGGTCACGGGTTCGATTCCCGCTCAAGTCAAACATTTGTGTGCATGAACATTTAATGTTTGATTTGGTCTGGGTGTTTCTATGTATAATATGTATGTATTTACAACAAAAAAAGTATATATGTATTGATGTCAGTTGTCTAGTACCCATAGTACAAGCTCTGCTTAGTTTGGGACTAGATGGCGTTGTGTGAATGTGGTAGAATATTATATTATATTATTATACATATTGTTTTACATGTTTGAAATATATAAACTATGACACTTGATTGACAAGTCATGTTCTTCTTCTTCTTTTAATTCAGTGGCTCCATCGGATGTCGATGATTTTCCCAACGTCTGGGGTGGGAGGTAGATTTATTAGTTAATAGTAGACTTGCAACGAATAGTATATTCGGCAGTATACCGAATACCGAATATTCGGCGAGGCCCCTGACCGAATAGCCGAATATTAGTCAAAAGTATTCGGCTGGATTTTATTGATTTTTTTTTATTGACGTGAATTAAATTATGTACCTGTTTTATGTACCAATGACTACTTAATAAATGATTATAAAAGAAATGAGAACCTTACCCTTCTAAATTTGGATTACCACAATAATTGAAATACATAGAATCCTCCATTTTTCCTATTCAGAAGATGATTATGTACCTGTGTTATGCACCAATGACTACTTAAATGATTATAACAGAAATGAAAATATGAATATATACGTAATCAATCGATTTTAATTTTTCATTTTACCAATTATTTCTCAATGACAAAATATATTATTTAAGTATTCGGTATTCGGCCGAATAATATGTAGATATTCGGTATTCGGCCGAATATAATAAAAGCAGCCGAATAGGCCGAATACCGAATAGTAACCGAATATTCGTTGCAAGCCTAGTTAATAGGTTGAAAATATTTGGAATACCAATAGGGAATTGTTGTGATTTCAATCGTTTCTGTTTGCGGTTCTGTGGGACAGTAGAGAAAAACAAAAGGACAGTAGAAAAAAGTATAGCAGTAAAAGTATTAGGAAACTTTATAAATTTATTTTATTAAGTTAAGAGTTAAGAGATAAGCCAAATTTACGGGTCGGGATATTTGTTGAGGGAGTAGATCATAAGAGGTACAACCAATTTAGGACAAGAGAAGAAAATAATGTTAGTTGCTTTTTACAGTATATTTTTAAATTCGTATGAGATAGCGGCTTATGACGTCATACATTGCTGTTGTCAAATTTAACGGCCTTGTCCTAGTAAGTCATTCAATGACATGACGGACATAAGGTTACGTGACCTCTAACTATTGAAGCTATCCGAGACTTGTGGTATCTGTAACCCTAGTACCCTCGCTCTAAACATTTTTTTTACCCCAATTTTTTTTCGGGCATCTAACACAACGCCATACTAATACTTTTACACTTTATAATACATATACACGGTGATTTTGAAAGCGTTTTGGAAAAGAAAATTTTGAGTTATTTATCAGTAACAGAAGCTATATATAACGTTAATTTAATAAAATATATTTTTTTTTATCATCAAAGTCGATATTCATATCGTTTACAGAGAAAAAGTCAGAACCAGTAGTAGTAGGCTATTCAATCACACGTAGGTAAATACTACGAATAGAAATACTATGCGTGTCACATCAAATCGTATTCGCCAATAAAAACAAAGCTACCGAGTTGCGCCGGAGTCGTCCAACCAATGACGTCTGCCCCGTAGGCGCATGCGCGGGGCTCACCTGTCATCGTCAGTCGGTCAGTAATACCATAACATCGTGACGGCACGCTGCATTGATTAGCGCTAAAATGAGTCGACAGTACGAATTTTCAAACGTGGAATACTTCTTGGCAATGGTACAGCTGTACGCTACTGCCAACTACAACTTGGAAGAGGCTCGGCGTTTGTATTCCCAAGCCGGATCATTTAAATGCACTACGGCTACGTGGAATTGAAAGCCCTCAAATTCCCTCCACACCTACTATCTTGGCTGCAACCCAACGTCTTCTCGACCACGGACAATTTCGTGCGCCTACTCATGCGCAAGGTCAAGGACGTTTTAATTATTATTCGCCGGAGTGTAGTGCGTGCATACCTGGACAATGAGCTTAGTGATCGGACTTAACGCCCCTGGATTTTTTCTTATGGTCGGAAATAAAAAGACTTGTTAATACACGGGAATATGAAAGCCGTGATAATTTACGCATTGCGATAGTGGACGCTTTAAAGTGAAAAGTGATAGAGACACATTAAGAAAATTAAAAAACAATTGCATTAAACGTGGACGTTTGTGTATTGAATGCAGCGGACTCCATTTTGAGCAGTTCCTTCGATACAGAGAACTGTAAATAGTGTAAATAGGTATGTAAGTTAATTATTCTGTAGATAGCTCCGATTTTTTAAATACGCCTGAAATATTTATACCTACAGTCCGTTGATAAATTGATTTGTTGTGAAAAGAACAATCGTGGTTAATAATCGAAAAGAAGTTTAAATAAAATAGGTATTTCTGACGGTCCTAAGCCCGTGTAAAGTATGAAGGACAAATTGGAGTCTATCTACGTAAGTACTCGCTAGCTCGCGCCTATAGGTATAGTTTTGTCAGCTGCTGTTAGCGTCGGCGGTGCGCAGCGGCCGCCGAAACGCCCACGGACGTGTTTCATTCATATAAGATAATGAATGAACGATCAGTCCATTACTACTTTCCAAGTCGATCGAGTAAAAATGAATATTAAAACTGAAACTTTTTTTTAGACAACATTACAATTGATTTAATCATTTTTATTGGTACTATAGATGATTCCAAATTCAAATATTTCGTTTCCAAAACGCTTTCAAAATCACCGTGTATAATACTTTTACACTTTCTTTTGTAAATACATACATATTATACATAGAAAACACCCAAACTCCGAAACACATATTTGCAGAACATACAAATACATAGACCGACCCGGGAATCGAAACCGAGACGACGCACAGCAGTCGCATACACTACCATTACACCACCGAGGCAGTATTTTTTTTTTTATTTGCTCCTTTCCATGTCCAAAGGATTATTCTCATATTCTATTCATTGCATATTCGCAAGGAGGGTTGGGAGTCAGGCAGGCCCTGATCATAAAAGAAACAAGTCCAAACTCTTTGCAATGTTACGAATTGTGAGAGAGTCAGGAAGACGATCATGATGATGAAAATTATTATTATTAGGGTATTATGGACGAGCAGCAAACTTGCTGATGTGTCCACATCACTGCACTGGAGTAAGTTTGTGATGTAAGAGTTCCCGTGTACATGATTAAACAGTTGTTTAGTCCAACGGGTGGTGCTTCTCTAATCTAAAAATTGAACTTAAAACACATACAAACTTGTAAATCATTAATTTCATACAAGATACACTTAATTTCAAGGAGACTGTTAAAGAAACTATTAAAACGTCAAAAGGCTTACCTTTTAACCATTCATCTTGTGTGAAAAATCCCATTTGTTTTGCCCCCATTTTGTATGCAATTACCAACATTACAACATTCTCTGGATCAACGTTTAAGTCTTCACAAAACTTTTCCATACCTTCGGGACCTGAGAACATTATACATATCAAATCAGAATTAAAGGACCATGGTTTAAAATATGTTTCTTTTGTACTATGCAGATTAAAATACATTCTTTAACAACAGCCTCTAAGAGTCCACTGCTGGACATAGGCCTCTCCTTAAAACAAGGTTTTGTCTACTATACCACACTGACTATACGGGTTGGTATAGGGTTTGTTTCAAGTTATCTGCATAGTTAGCTCCCTTAGTCGGCTCTTATGAATAGGGGTGGTAACACTCCGTATTCTTAATCTGCCAACACATGGATGAAACGCATACCCTTAGTTTTATATATCCGTTTTTATACATTTTTAGTTTTATAGCACATTTTGTTTAAACATTTTAGCTTTCTGTGCTCCTTCTACATAAAAGCATTATATAGTATGCAAATATGATTAAAATGTAATTATGAATTGCTGCCTGCCTATGTGTTAATCTATTTCAATCTAAACAATTAATTTAATTTCATCACAAGCAGTCGAGCTCGTGAGAAACACTTGCTTACACATTTTTAATACTAATACGTAATTATTGTTAGGCACCTGTAGCTAGCAGTATTGATTCTTGCATGTATGATCAATGATTTAAAAAAAAACTGATGACAATGAAACTGATACAATGACCAATTATGTATTGATTAGGAGCAGGACATTACAATAAGATATTTTGTCATCAACTCACCTAAAACATCTGGTTCTGAAACTGTTGTGTATTCTTTAAACCAAGTTAAACATTTCTTTACACTAAAACTTGTGTCTTCTGATTTGGAATGTCGACGTGAACTGAAACATAGGTATACAACTTTAGTAAATATGTATATAACCCGGCAATTTCGTGCGCGACCGTCCCGCGGGGTGACAGACAGTGGCGGGGGCGAGGTAGCGCGTCATTCTAGCACACTGCTACACACGATTCCCTTCCCCGCTACACCACCCGCTACCCGCTGACATCTTGAGTACCTCGTCCCCGCCACCGTCTGTCACCCCGCAGGACGGTCGCGCACGACGTTGACAGACTATAGTAGTTGGTTTAAAAACTAAGCTATTTCTTCACTTTCTTTTTGTGCTACCTAACAATCGTTTTTGTAAATATTATGTCAGCTATCAGTCGGTGAAATACTCCTGGAAATCAACCTGACAGGTTTAAGTACTGTATAAACATTCAGATACATTTTAAGAAAAGCTGTTTTATAGTATTACGATCAACAGCCTTTAATAGTCCACTGCTGGACCTAAGCCTCTCCTGAGAAAGGAGGTTTTGGCCTACTATTACGATAGAAAAGTATTACGATACTCAAGTTTTATTTATTTTTATAGACTGTCTTTTTTAGAAAATAGAAATATTTAGGTACCTGCTATTTCTAGATCTCTTGTGGTGATGATGATCGTCTAATGCGGTCGCTCCCGGCAGGACTTCGCCCCCGCTAGCGGGAGCGCCGCTCCGCGTCCGTTTGCTGGAGCGTGGCATCGCTCCACCACCCTTAACAATATTTTATTTCTTTAACAGCACATTAAGACATCTTAAGTATTACCTAGGATAACTATTAAATTGGTAGAAGAATTAAGTGACATTGACTTTAACATTTGCCGATGAATTGGATAAATCATTTACTTATTTTGGATAGAACTCATATAATAAATATAAATTCATACATACATCTGATATTCTACATTTACAATATTATTATAAGTATTTTGTGTTGTGTAGGAACTCCTGTTTCTTTGCATCATCATCGTAATCAAATAATGGCTCAGTATCCGTGATGTTCACTATTCGAGTTAGTTCATCATTGTGCTGTTTCTTACAATGTAGACAATGATAAACCGTTTTCGGCCCAAACGGCAATATATTTTGTTCACCGCTGTGTGGGCACAAACACATATATAAAGTAAAGAAGTATTTACTTTCTTCTATATATTTACTAAGAATAACCTTGAAAATAAATTTTATATTTTACACTTTTTCAGCAAAACCCTAAAGCTATTCCTGTCACAGTGGATTTTCTTTTTTTATTAGACTAAGACAATAATCATTGATATTTGACGATAAACATGCATTATACATAGTAAAATGTATAATAAAATTAAAGTAATCATGAATCTGCAAAGACATGTTTGTTTTATTTACCTTCTACAATGAATGTATAAACATCAAATAATATGTTATCATTTATCATATTTTTAAAAATGTCTATATCAATGTAAAACAGAAGTTTGTGTATATAAATAATGTTGTGGAGGAATGGCTGTTGTGTCCGTCCAACACAAAAGACAACCAAGGACAACCTGCAGCGAGGTAATCATGCCTGGTGGGCCACGACTCAAATGTTGATATTAGAAATTTCATAGTTTCAATGAAGCCACCATTAAATGTTATTGAGTATATTTTTTTCGTGGTACATAAAAGTCACCTTAATGCTTAGGAAGTAAATACTTAATTCATATTAGATTCAAGCCAAGGCCTGTCCAAAGATAAGGACTAAGTATTTGAACAATTCCATAACTGGAATTTTATATTATCAGCAAAAATACTAAAGATAATGAAAAAGTGATCATAGATCAATTGATAACACAGATAACATAATGTTACGCTATTAAGTTTAACTTCAGTGAAATGCCGGGCAAAAATTAACAATGTGTTTATCAGCAGTCTGTTTACAGGATCTGTCTAATTTAGAACCTGGCAAGTTATTGTTATTTCAGCACCTTATTCCAATATCTTCTTTATGGTAGTTGGACAACTTCAATAAAATACAATGTCTATAAATCACCTTGATATCTGATCTCATAAAGTTATAATTACAAACTGACTGCTGGCAAAACTGTCAATATAGTTGTTTATTATACAATGATGTAAAAAGTATTTATATATTATAGTGTGTCAATGTTAATTTTAGTTGGATGACTGTCCCCTTGCATGTACATATCAAGTTTAAGGAAGAAACTACATTAAATTCATTTATGTTCAATTACATAGTATAAAACAAGCTCCATTTTGAATTACATAATCGTTTGGTCGAATATAATTAAAACACAATAAAATGGTGTTTAAGATGCCAAAGATTATTGAGATTTGGGGAATTCTTTACACACTCGATCACCTAACTTATAAGAAAGGAAAACACTACTTAATTTCATGTTAAGATTCTTAAAAGAAGAATAATGAGAATAAATGTGGAAGAAATAGACCCAACCTACGACTACTTGACATCTTTTCTTAATGTATAAAACTCATGTTTGGAGTAAAACTTTAGTATTTCATAGTTAATAAAATAATTAAAGTCGTAAACAGCTTGGCTTCTACAAAAATATTGAGGGTACAACAATCAAGAGGTTGACTCAAGGTTAACTGGAAGAGAATGCTTTGGGCTAATGCCTAACTTTATGCACTCCTATACATCAGCTGACTTAATAGTCAGCTGATGTATAGGAGTGCATAAAGTTATGTAAATAAATATCTAATCTAAATAAAGTAAATCTAACTCAAATTGTCACTCCATAATTTTTACAACTACAAGCGATATAAAACCGAAATACTCGTTAATATCTAATACCTTTAAACAAGCAGTTCTTGTATATGTATTATGTGAATCTCGGAAACGGTCCCAACAATTTTAATGAAATTTAGTATGGTAGGGGCTTCTGGGAGCAATTAATCAGTCTAGCTAGGTTTAATTTCCAGAAAATTTACCCAAAAAAAATATACTGAGCAAAGCTCAGTCATCCCGGTACTAACAAATAATATTGTTTACAAACACAAAGTGCTGCATAACAATTAACTAGAGAATGTAACTTAATGACATGATAAAATCACAGAATGTTCATTATGGGTGATGCACCTGATCTCTAAACAGATACAGATAAGGAGACAACAAACACACCATAAACACATACATACCATAAACTTAAAACAAACGCTATACCAACCTGCCAGGCTAGCGTGGTATTGTAGGCTAAAACCACCTTTCTAAGAAGAGGCCTATGTCCAGCAGTGGACTATTAAAGGCTGTTCCTGCATTTTTTTAAATAAGATAGTCAAGAATTTCATTATCATAATAAAATATAATTTGATAAAGATGTGCCAAAAGGGAACAGTTAGAGAACTGGACACAAATTGTCCTACTCTCTCTGATATCTACAGATCATCAGCAGCCTTTAATAGTCCACTGCTGGACATAAGCCTCTCGTTAGAAAAGAGGTTTCATCATATCCACAGATACAGATACATATAAAGATACCCAGCACATTACTAGTCATTATGTCATGTCTGTGTCATCATGACTATGTTAATGCTAACTACATGCCTTACTAAACAATAATTAAAAAGAAATAAAACATATTTTCTTCTATTCAGACAATTCATTATGACACTATCTCAAAAGTATTTAACTTTTTTCATAATTCAAAAAGTATTCCAAGTTTTTGTTTTTAATTTACTTTGAATTGTTATTTTACTACAGAATACATTGTATATACATACTACACTTCTTCAAATATGTAGCATGTTTATATAGGAGTCTAAATGTAACCTAGCTAGAACTAAATCTTCAAAGAGCTAGGTGTGACAAAAACATATGATATGCATAAATTGTACACAAAAGAGGTTATGTTACATATACTTAGAGATACAAGATATTAACAATAGAAATTTTCTCACCAACTTTAGTAGACTACAAAAAAAGTTTAGTTACCGATAGTTTACAACATTGAAAACTATTATATCCCATTGGTAAATGTTTACATACACACCTCACATTTCACATTCAAACCTCATACTTGAGAAGTAAAAGTATGGATTCTAGATAATGAAATTTGATCAAACTTACTATTGGTGGCAGATTCGATATGAAATTGGAAAACCTAAAGGGGTTTTCGTCTCCTATTTTGCGAATTTTGCAAGTACAGCTTTACAGAAAAAATGTCTCCTTGACAGGTCGATAATAACCTGAAATAAAAAAATCAAGTATCTTCCTATATCTACGGTAAAAAAAACGATTAATATTTACACATATTAAAACGATCTTATTCTTTCATATCAAGCATAATTATTAAAGATTATTATAATGTTAAATACAAAATTATTTGTGAAATGCTTTAATATGGAAGACAACGAGTCTACGCTGCTAAATGTTACCTACTTGGTTCTTTAGTGAATTTGATCTATCCGACTGTAATTTTTTGCTAATTAGAACTACCAAAACATTTCTACAATAATATAACTGATTATAATGTAAAACCAAACAGCAGACACAGCGGCTGAGAAAACTCAAAACGAATTTTTCGTTTAGTAGTTGCACTAACTTTTTGTAACAAATTCGCACAACGTTCTACTAAAACACAGAATAACAGTACGATATCTATCTTCCAAAATAATTTAAATTAAATGTATTAGGTACTACTATTACTTGAATTCATTATTTTTATGTTTCTTTTTGTTATTGTTGTTAAGAGCGCCACAAGGAAAAATTAAATTTTACAATTCGACACATACATAATATCGCACCTTTAATAATAAACTGAATTAATTCAAAATTTACGTTTTTCGAGTTTTCAACAAATACCAAATCAACTTCATCAGTAGAACACGAACAATCCAACAGCCGACTCGATACCATGAAAATGGCAGAGATAAGAGATCGTCGGACTCTTTTTGACGAACTCGCACGTACATGAATGTCAAACTTTAAATGCGATTTCCCACAATATTGAAATTCTAAGTTAATTCAGTTTATGAATAAAGGTGCGATATATTCATCAAATAGTATCTACGACTTAATTTTTTTTTTTTGCACACTCTCCAGCCCAGGTTCCTGCAGGAAATAGTTGAGGGTCTTTTCCCACAACGGGTGAAATAAACACCCCCGATGGGCTCCTTGTTGCCATGTCAGACGTTTCCCTGAGTGCTGGAAGAACGGGTAGCTGGTCTTTGTTAACGAACCCGGGACAGCCTGCCAATTCGGTGGCAGCCTACAAAGCCATTGTTGATGGACAAGGATGGTAAATTATTTGAGAGATTCTTTCTGCCCACATCGTCCGGCACCTCTGCGAGGTGGGCTCCTATCTCTCAGACGTCCAATTCAGTTTTCGAGCTGGGCGTTCAATGATCGGTGATGTGTTGCACCTCAGGATCGTGACCGAAAAGGCCGTAAGCCGTAGCGATGTGCTGTTGGTGGTGTCATTGGACATGGCCAACGCTTTCAATAAGCCTGCCATTCAGCTACATTAGGAAGGCACTTCACCATCACGGGGTGCCAGAGTACCTGAGGTGGCTAGTGGCAAACTATTTAGAGGAACGTATCGACATGTATGAATAACAAGATGGATATCTGAGGTGTCGGCACATTACGTGCAGTGTTCCAGAAGGGTCTGTTTTTGGAACCCTCCTGTATAACATAGGGTACCACTGGAGCCTTCGAGGAAATTGCTCCCTGCCCCCGATCTGGCCTGTGTGTGTAATTTGTTCGACACTTTGATTACAGCCCGAGCAGCGACGGCGAACTTTTAAGAGACGGTGCGCCTAGCACCCCTGGTGGTTGGGCTCACTTTTCTTTTAATAGACAACTAGCACCTCCACCGTAAGTCCTTCGTACTTGGAATATATCCTGTGTCGCAGGGGACTTTATAAACATATATGAAACGGACACAGAACACCTAGACTCAGAACAACGATTTGTGGATCAAGAATATTGTTTTTCCATGTGGGGATTGAACCCATAATACTCAGCGTAGTAGTAAGCGGCGTGGCGACCGCTTAAACCACTACGCCATCCGTGCAGTCAAATCACTGAACTCGTCAAAGTCAGTGAACTCGTATAAGTACTCTAATGAATGAAGATAGATAACAGCCTAGCAAAGGAGTGTAAACAACGTTGAGGTGAAAACTATCTCTTATCTGGATCTCTTACCCACATCTTAATAAATCGACTGAATCTCGTGTTATGTTCAGCAAGTAGAGGGGAAAGATTTAATTTAATGACTCATAAAGGTAGAAAAAAGTATGTTTATCAGTAGTTTGGAGTATTTCTACTTACTACTTGGACTTATCTTGGATCAGACTGCCGTGTGTTTGTTTTTTTTTAACAGACAACTCCTGCACTAGGAATATATCTTGTGTCGTGGGGGACTTTACAAACATACATTAAAAGGACACAAAGAACGCATAGACTCAGAACAACAATTTGTTTACCGCTTAAACCACTACGCCATCCGTGCAGTCAATAAATATTATTGAGGCGCTAGACTTGCAATTGGTACTGTATAGGACGGAGGCCCTCTTATTTCATGGGCCCTATCGTGGTCGACACCCGCGGTCCTCGTACCGGTTTAGGTCCAGATTAACGAGAGGTGGCTCTTCACCGAGCACTTCCGATAGCCTGTTCAAAAGTGGTCGGCGCTGCGTTTCCCCATGGGCGACTTTTGCCCAATTTAGGTGGACCCAGAATCGCGACAAGACTGCTGCACACCGGAGATGTCCGGTCAATGGCGGTATACGGTGCACCGGTTGCCGCACTGTGACTACGAACGTGGCATGAGTGTTGGCCGAAAACCCCCTCCGCTGGATTTGGAAGATATCGGCGTACGGCAGAATTTTGGCAAATAGCTCCAGCTTGTAATCTTTGTTGTCATTGCTTTCGAGAGGTAGAACGTTCTAGAGGAGGACAGATTGGATTAGGAACGAAGAGTGGACACATGCGGAAGTATGAGTGGGACATAACAGAAGTGGATTGTTTGATGAACGAAGGATTATGTTCTGATTGGAATATAGAAATTGGAATGAAGGGGAAATATGTGAGTTGACAATAGAATAGAGGGTCGTGAGGGCGTGCAGCTGACGGCTCTAAAGAATAGTGAGCCAGTATAATTTGCTACGAGAGGAGGAAACATGGTTGTATTTGCGAAGATTAAGTCTAATCGAATGCAGTTATTCAGAAGGCGGTTATATACTCGTATATTGAGGAGATCTAAGTACGTTCATATCTACAGTAAGTATAGCAAAATAACTTTTAAGCCATTTTTTTCTTTTAGTCTAATCTCATCATCAAGAACATTAGTATATTAATTCCCAAACTTTATTTGGCCCAATTAATCAATCAATCAATTTGGTATCTTTACAAATTGTCTTGACTGTTTTCTTTTTGGCTAGCCGCCTTCTCAAGAGGCACATTAACTGGCCAACAATCAGATCAGAATATATTGAGCTAGTCCCATTGTGAAAACAATGTATTCTATCACCCAATCGCTTATTAACCTTGGCTTGCATATTGACTTCTGGAATCCTTTTGAAACGACGCGATGTTACGCTGAATTTAGGGTTATTTTTATATAACAGGTCCTTCGTGTTAGTTTTTTGGTAATGTTTAATAACAAGCAAGTTTATTAGAGCCGCTACTTCAAAGAATGCCATACATTTTATAACAGTCATCACATGTTTAAAACTGATATTTATACTCCAGTTTTTTTTCAAGGATTCTTACTAAGATTTTAATCTACTGTTATATATAATCGTCTATCTAATAATTGTTACGTTAATCATGAAGTCAAATTTAAACTGTACTGGTTTAGTCAGTGTGAGGAATATTCATTTTAGACAATATGATGCAAGATGATTACAAAAATATGAAATAAAACACTACATCCTGTACTTTTATTTGTAACTAGCTGACCCGCGCAACTTCGTCTGCGTCTCTCAATAGTAATAACTTTTCTCCGTTTTTGAAACATTCTTCATTGGTGCTCCGCTCCTATTGGTCTTAGCGTGATGATATATAGCCTATAGCCTTCCTCGATAAATGGGCTATCTAACACTGAAAGAATTTTTCAAATCGGACCAGTAGTTCCTGAGATTAGCGCGTTCAAACAAACAAACAAACAAACAAACTCTTCAGCTTTATAATATTAGTATAGATTTAATAACGAAAATTTAATTTAAAAATTACCTCCTCGATTAGGACTGACTGCAATAAATAAGTACAGCATATAAATCGTACCTTCGCTTGGTAGAACAAGGGCACAACTGTCGAAAATTATGCCAAAGTCTTACCGTTTCAATTGGAGGAACAAACATTCATTATGTTCCTTAAAAAACCGCCAGGGCCAAAATAGTGGCTGGCTTTATCAACAAAACTCTGGGGCTACAAAGTGTCATTGGTCATTTGCGCTGCCAGCGGCCCTTTGGTGGTTGGTGGAGCAAAAGGGTCCAAATGTAACCTTTCTTAACAGACCAAGACCATCTTGAATGCAAAAAATGTCTTAAAATGATTCTTCGGCAGAATTTCAAAAACTTCACTTGTGCCCTTATTCAACAGAAGGTGCAATATATAGTGGTAGTAGTATATATATATATATATATATCGATCCATCCCGGCTTCGCACAGTTCGCACCACTAATACTACTAACGTATTGTATGCCCATGTCCAGCAGTGGACTGTGATAGGCTGATAATGATGAATGTGGTGTCAGTGTGGAGTAATTAATTATAGTTTTATTATGATAGGACTATACTACAGGATAAATATGGAATATTTATAGGCCCGACCCGATCCTGTCACACGCGCGACCGATGTACTTGTCGACAGTCGTTGGGCATTTAAACCTCTAATATCTTCTGAAATATTTATTTTAATGAAATACTGGAAAGAAAAATTTTAATGTACATTAAATGCACAACGTATCTAATCTATTTAATTGGATAAGAAATAATAATATATTATTTAAAATAGCTTCGCAAATAAATCATATTTTTTTGTAAACTTAAAAAAAACTTGTTACTGTAAAGTAAAGGTTACTGTGAGTTATCCTTAGGAGATATTCCACCGCTTACTTTACTGTAGATGTTTTTAAGATAAACAATTTCGTAGTATATTAATTTGGTCTATCTCGTCGCGTTTGCAATGTAAGAGTACAAAAACATGTTTTTTACGACAAATCGTAAGCGTACAACAAAGCGACTTTATTTTATACTATGTAAAGATATAATAAAAATAATGAATAACGTATGGTGACGAATTAAGAATACTTAGTGACACCACCCCTATTCATGCATCATCACCATCAGCCTATCGCAGTCCACTGCTGGACATAGGCCTCTCCCATTGCACGCCACTTAGATCGATTTTGGGCTTCTCTTCATGCATGCTGCATGAAGAGAAGCATCCACCCATATTCATATGTCGTAAGAGCCGACTAAGGGAGCAAACTACACATGACAACAGAACTGAAAAGAAATGGAAAACTTGACACAAACCCTATACCAACCCGTCTGGCCAGCATGGTATAATAGCTCAAAACCTTATCTTTAAGGAGAGGCCTAGCAGTGGATTACTAAAGGCGGTTGATGATGATGATGATAATGTATATAAATAACTTAAATTAAACAATAAATAACTTAAATTAATAAATCTGTGGTTGCGCTGGAATGTAAAATAAATTAAAACTGGAATGTTCCCATAGTGTTTTACATTGTCTTGTCTCATGCGTAGCATAGACAACAAATCTTGATAAACGCCATTTTGTAATTTTGAGCATGTTGACTCTGCTTCAAAAATGATTTTTTCGTCGGAAATTAATGTTTCTGGCGGTGTTAATTTATAGTTTAATTTAAGAACAAAAGCATTACACCACAATGGATATGCCAGAAGTCAAGTCGTTCAACGCGGAGGTATATTTTGATAGAGTGTCGCATCGAATGAAATGTTCCGTGGCACCTTACTTATAATCTTTTTCTTGCAGTTATCCGGGTTGTACGACAATAAGCCACCTATATCAAAGGCGAAGATGAGTGCTATTACCAGAGGTGCTATAAAGGCTATAAAGTTTTATAAACATGTAGTTCACAGTGTTGAAAAGTTCATACAAAAATGCAAGCCAGAATACAAAGTGCCTGGTCTTTACGTGATAGATTCAATTGTGAGACAGTCTCGACACCAGTTTGGACAAGATAAGGATGTGTTTGCCCCAAGGTTCGCGAAGAACATGCAACAAACGTTCGCTAACTTGTTTAGATGTCCTCCAGAAGATAAGGTTAGTTACATAAAATGACTGTTTTAGGTTATAATCTGTCCCTCTGTTATCTATGTACAAATAACTTATCTTAAAGCTTCTTACAAGGGTTAAATTGCAATTTTGTATCACACAAAGTATTTTATCTTGTCAACAATGTTTATATCCATAGTAATGCATTTTCATATTGAAAGATCATTAAAAAATTTAAAAAGAAGCTAAAATAAACATCATAATACATGTTGTATCAGAATTCTTTTAGACTACATGTTAAAATAAAAACTATTTACAAACAAAAATGTACAATGGTGGACACCATTGTACATTTTTGTTTGTAAAATATATTAAATAATTAATATATCAATAAAAACATAGGCTCCATTAAATATCATATAAAAGTCAAATAAATTTCTCAATAAATGCTAGTAGAACATTTAGGTAGCCATCATTATTAAGAGAATATCTTTTTTTTTTTAATTTTTATTGAAATGGCGGTATCCTATTAGTTAAGGCATTGGACTTGTGATCAAGAGGTTATGGGTTCGAATCCTGACCAGTACACTAACATGAACCCACTCCTAACACAAGCAATTTTGCTTAGCTGGAGGGGTTAACGAGAATACTAGTAATTTCAGTTGCTAGTAGACATTAAAAAAAACAAGAATAATGTATGTTTAAATTGTAAACTTCCAGCGCAACATTATCAGAGTGCTTAACCTGTGGCAGAAGAACAATGTATTCAGTCCTCAAGTAATCCAGCCCTTACTAGACATGGCCGACCCTAACCATCCTTTACATCAAGAAATACAGCAACAACAAAATAACACGGCCAATGGTATGATATCATTCATAAACATTAAGCAAATTAGTAATATTACATGTAATCTTAAGATTAACTCAAGATTTAGTCAGTTTCATGCTTGATTTAATGTGATGATAATAGCATTTTAGGAAATTCAGAAGCTATATAGAAATTTAGCTTTCCAAAAGTAGCCTTAAGTGAAAACTATACTTGACTACTTTTAAAATGTAAATATAATATAAAAATTATTTTGTTGAAATAAAGTAGAAAATTTAATGTGGCTGCACTAATACTCAAGAGGGGATCATTTTTATGTACTCAGGACTGGGGACATGCTACAATTTTGTTTACCTACTTGAAATCCTATACCCAGCTAGACCCAGCACCATACTCATGTGGGTTTAGTGATTAGTGCCCCTTACTGCTATGCCGGAGGTTGTGGGTTCGATTCCCACCCAGGCCAAATATTGTGTGATGATCATGATCATTTGTTCTGTGCTTGGGTGTCATTTATCCATAATATTTATGTATGTTTATCAGCAGTCTGGTTACTATAGTACAGGCTTTGCTTAGTTAGGGACCAGACCTTATACAGGCAAATGTTATTATACAACAAACTGTACAAAACCTACTTTTCAAAGAATGGTATAAAAATTAATAACATTTCTATTCTGTCACATTACAGGCAGCACCTTAAATATCAGTTCATCAGATAATAAAATGTCTCCTGGCCAGCACAGTCCACAGATGTCATCCCCAATGGGTGGTGATCAAGTAAGTTATAATTATTTTCTTATGCATGTTTTTAAATACATGAAGTTTAATAAAAAAATATATTATAATGTAAACATCCTTACATATTATTAACTGAAGTCCTCCGGCCATATCTGTCTGTATGAACGTGGTAAACTCACAAAGTACTGAACAGATTTTCACCAATAGAAAGTGATCCTGAGGAAGGTTTACATGTATAATTCATGATGGTTTTATGTAAATATGCTATCTATTAAATATTATTATACTCAAATGAATATTTGAGGAATTATGTATATAGCAGAGAAAAGGTATGGTTGTATACTAATACCAGGTAGCAGTTTGCCAGCTGTATTGATTACTAGATTCTGGTTTTAGCTGCCAAAATTTATTCTTTCCTTGAGGATTTGAGCTATCAAATGCTGAAAGTAAATTTTAAATCTTTGGAACTATCAGTTTAGTGGCACTCATTCACAAAAAAAGATGTAAAAATATTAATAACGAACCTAACAATATAAACTGGTCATTGTTTAATTTTTTTTTAAATATATATCTAATCATTTATATCTGTCATTTACAGTTCCAAGATGAGCCGGATTCTCAGCCTAAGTTCAACAGGAAACTGTTGAATGACTTTGAGTATGAGAGTGAGGACGACGGCCCCCCGGATACTGGTGGGCCCAGCACTCAGAGCTCTTCGCACTCCCATTCGCACCCTGGACCCAACACACAACATCACTCTCAGAACACCACTGATGCTTTGGGGAGGTGAGCATTAGATATTACTATTTAGTGTAGTTCTGTCTATGTATGATAATGGTAATATGTACATATGATATACCACTTCAAATATGATCATCAATCAATTTATAGTTTGTGTCTTCATATTACCATTTATCTGTTCATCTATTTTGCACATACATTGTCAGGGATTCATAAAATTACAAAGAGTATCTTTTAATAGTACCATCGTTCCTGAACTAGGAAAAAAACCATATTAATTATATAGTTATTACGTCATAGTTTGTTACATTTTCACACCTAAACCATTGCACCAATTTTAATTATTTTTTTTTCACCAATGAAAAGCTACATCATCACTAACATTTACCACTACTTTTTACCGCGTTAACTGACATGTACACGGACGGGGCCACGGGCAGAAGCTAGTTATCTATACATTTATAATGGCAATAAATCTCTCTCCCTGGTTTATTATTATTATTAGCCTTCATTTGGGCACAATTGTATATCTTTGTCATTCAAACACCATTCTTTTTTTCCATTTCTGTGTGTCGTTTGACAGGTGGCAAAGGCCTCCTCCAATCTTCTACATTCTGGCCTTTCTATGGCCACTGTACCCCTCTTCTCTGTGGTTTACCTTTTTCCATGGTTTATCATTATTAGAATAATTTGATCAATTACTAAATTCAATTAATTTGTAAATAAAACATTCTCCTGAAACTTGTGTTACTAAATATACATATTGCACACATACTATTCTAATATTTTTAAACTATAATAAATACATTTTGTATTTAATAAGGTAGTTGACCATATCTTCCATAAATAACAATGTCCGCTTCATTAAAACGAATATCACAAACTATTACCAATTTAAATAAAATAAACATTGAGAGATATTCTTCAATTAAGTAGTCTAAAATGGTGACGTCATAATTTGCTATTTAGTACATCTTTCATACAAAATAGTTATTTTGACAGATGATAAAAAGTAACTAATTTGACTAAGGTGTCAACTAATCTATTATAGATATTAGTATGTAGTACCCTGGAGTGAATAAATAGGGAGTCTAGTCTGTCTCTGCATCAGTTGTTTACTAAAATAAAATAGTTTTATTTTCTGTTACTATATTAATAATTTTTAATATTCTCTACACATTGCAGTATACTAACAAATCCTGAGATAATGAGACAGCTACAGAGCTTGCAGGCACAAATGCAGATGATGACAGGGATGCAGATACCAGTAAGTGTATTTTCTTGTTTTATATTTGGTTGCCGTTAGACAAAAGGATTTTTATTTTAAACATGTATGCACTAAAATAAGTTGCCATTAGACGAAAGGAACATGTATGCATTAAAATAAGTAGTATGTATAAATAAATACTAGAGTAAAGTCTATGCTAAAATCAAGTATTGCTAGGTTTATTCCCACCTGGGATGACATCTTGTGTAATCTACAAATTGTTGTACTGAATCTGGGTGTTCTTTGTGTCCGTTTCATGAAATGTCTTAAAGATTTAAAGAAGATCTGTCTATGTATGTGATAAATGATATTTAAAGCAATATGTATTTGTATTCACTCATGCCTGCATCTCTAAGGGTTAAAATAAACACTATATAATTAGATTAATAAATATTAATACCAATATGTTAATTTTGCAGAATTTAATGCCCATGATGTCTGATCTACAAATGCAACACAATCAAAACCAAGGCCTTCCATTCATGGTAAATATTGGTATTGGTTATTTATCATTGTTACGCAACAAAATAAAAGCCGTGTGGTGTCGTGGGACACCCGATAGGAACGAAGTTGTTACGATTGAGTAAAACTGATTAGACACGATTTTAATTACAACGCCATCTATGAAAGCGGCTATTACCTACATATTTTTCAGTTGGTTTCTAATTAAAACAATTTATACATTGGTAAAATCTCCTTGAGAAATGATGTCGAATACAATATTTTTTGCTCAACCTAAGAACATAAATCTTAATTTTACTATTCGATAGATGGCGCTGAATGACTGACAAGTGACAATTCAAAATAAAAAGTGTCGTGATCAATTTTCGTGAGAATTTTTTCCGTCTAGCCTACAGAACGCGCGATAAGGAACTTCGTTCCAAAACCGACATCAACAATCAATGTCACATTTCAAACAAACACTTACAGAAAATATTAATGAATTATACACTTAACCTTCCTCATAAACCCAAAGTCCATTGGTGAAAACCAAATAAAACACTGTTTTGTAGTTTTTAGATTATTGCATTCATGCAAACAGACAGACCCTGCGGGGGTTTTAAAAGATATTATACTATATTATATGTTTTTCTTTTCAGTCTTCACAACAAGACAACCAAAACAAGACGGAAAATAAAGATGATATGGGCAACAATGAGTCTGATATTGAATTTGTTGAGACGGGCCCTCAAGTTATTGAAATACCCGATGCCAATGATTCTAGGTATGAATAATTAATAGTCTCCTCAAAGAGCTCTAAGTTACCTTCACATCATGGCATGAACAGCCTTTAATAGTCCACTGTTGGACATTGACCTCTCCTTAGAAAGGAGTTTTTGGGCCACTATACCACTCTGGCCAGACGGGTTGTTATAGGGTTTGTTACAAGTTTTCCGTTTTGCACCCGGCTCTTACAACACCCACAGTATGTATACAGGTGCTGACACTCTGTATTCTAAATCGGTCTACACACAGAGTTACCTTCAGATTAAAACTACATTGTAGGTTTAGTCATATGTTACTTTTGAGCAGCACCTCACTAGGTGCCAAAAAAACATAAAACTAAGTAACAATAAGGCGCTTTGTACTTCACCATGTACATGTTAAATTATTTTAGCTGAGACTTTTACCCGAGTTCTAAAAAAATACTATAGTCCATTCGCGTTAAGTAAATAGTGACGCAACAATCAAATTCCGTTTCCTGACCAACCAAGATCCAAGCTTTCGTACAAAACGATTATTTCTTGGAACCTGATTGGTCAGGGGGTGGGGCTAGACTGATGCGTCATTGCTTTCTTAGGGCGAATTGGGAATAAAAGTCTCTCTTAGGAAGTGAGACTTGGCCAAGATAGATGAAGATGAAATGATAAGAACAAAAAAGTAAATTAAAATCACTCTCAAGAGGAGCGGGAGTAACAAAATAAGGAGAATTTGATTTGTATTGAAATATTTTGAGTTTACAATAGTGTAACAGCTGATATTATAATTGCAGTCCGTCGCCAAAGTCTCGACGTCACAGGTCTCGTTCAAAATCGCCACGACGCCGACGTCGGTCGCGGTCGAGGTCAAGGTCGCCAAGGAGAAGAAGGGACAGAGATAGAGAAAGGTAATCCTTACTAGTTTTTGTGTTAGGAACTTGGAAGTACTAGCTTTTGTGTTATGATGCTTGGGACATCATAATAATATAACACACTTATACAGGTATGTGTTAAAAAGGACAACATAATATATGTTAGGACTTTCACAAACAAGTTCTTGTAGAACCTAAATACGGAAATGATTGCTATTTTTAAATCATATTCATTTCATGAAATAATTGGTTTTAGTCACAGCGATTGCACATGTTACAGAAAGATAGGTGGCAGTAAAATAAATAAAAAATATTTTTTAAAACCTAACGTAACGGTGGTTTTGTAAATCAGTCACAGGATAATCTAATCTTTAAATCATATGATTTATCACATGATTTTGCGATTTTATTCCATCCCTACTACATACACATTTCTTAGTCAGTACAAAAAAGTATAGTTCTATTAGAGATCTTTTAATTTCTTATTACTATGAGTCCTAGACTACTTATAGAAGTTTAACAGCAAAAACATGTTTTTTTTTTAAGAATTAAGTTTCAAATTAATGAATATTGCAATGATATGTTGAATTAAATGTTTCTATATAATAAATGTTAACTATATTTCTTTAATCAGGGAGAGAGAAAAGGACAGGGAAAAAGATAGAGAAAAAGGTTACAAAGAACGAGAGGCAGAAAGGGAGAAACAAAGAGAACGGGAAAAGAAAGGACTGCCACCAATAAAGAAAGAAAATCTTAGTGGTGAGTATGGAAGTAAAACATAAACGTCGTATATATTAATTGGTTTAATTTTGAAAATAGCAATCGTAAGTTTAGCTGTATAGACTGCGTGCCCACTAATATGGTTGATTGTTATTGTGTCTTTCATACTTAAATCCATTTAAGTGCAGAATAGACAGTACAAAAATGATTTAAGATGTTTCTATGCTTTCTAATAAAATATGTGGTTTTAGTAAATTATATTGACATGTAAATTATTAATGTAATTTTTATTAGATATTCATTAAAATATTAAAGTTTAAAAAAATGTGAATATATTTATTGTATCATGTTTATTTACGTAATTGTCTGCTATATTGGTAAATAACATTTAGTTAGATAAATGCTTTTATTTAAAGCAAAAATTTAGGTCAAAAAATCTCTGTAGTTTCTTGTTAGACTTGCATTGTCTGACTAGTTATTTGTTTATGCTTCAGTTTCTGTAAAACTTTCATAATGGTAAAAAAAAATAAGAAGTTAAACACTTCTGAAAATTATTTGACTAAGTTGTTCAGTGATGAATTATAAAAGTTATCCGAGAGATAGTCCCTCGGATAATTTTTACAGTTTTACAGAAACAGAAGCATTCATATTAGTGATCAATATTTGATTACAATGAATAATATTTCGCACACATTTGACTCACGGCACTAGGTAGAGCCCGTGCCCTATACAATAAGTTCGCATATAGAGAGAGAGAGAGAGAGAGAGAGAGAGGGAGATTGATTGATACGCGCGGTGTGGTCAGTGTGCAGCACGACGCTGTGGGTGGGGCACCTGTCGAAGCTGGCGACGCCCGAGGAGCTGTCGGACCTGTTCGGCGGCGTGGGCGGCGTGGCCAGCATCGACGTGGTGGCGCCGCGCGGCTGCGCCTTCGTCGTCATGGAGCGCCGCCGCGACGCCGCCAAGGCCATCGCCAAGCTCAACAAGCACAAGCTGCACTCCAAGGAGATCACCGTGAGTCCGCTCGCTTACACTGTCGACACACAACTACAACTGACATATAAAAACACAGACCGAATCAATGTTCATGCACACAAACGTTTGACTCGAGCGGGAATCGAACCCGCAACCTTTGACGTAGCAGTCCGTAACACAAACCAGTACGCCATGCGGTCGTCATATTGTACTAACTCACATGCACAGCTTCGTCTGTATCTCTTAAAAGTAATTCATTTTACCCCCTTTTTGCATAATTTTAATTGATACTTAACTCCTATTGGACATAACGTGATGTTTTATAACCTATAACCTTCCTCGATAAATGTGCTATTCCACTCTGAGAATATTTTTCAATTCAAACTAGTAGTTACTGAGATTAGTGTGTTCAACCAAACAAACAAGCTTTCATCTTTATAGTATTGATATAGATAATCTTAATCTATTGATTTTCATACAAACACCCACTTAACAACATAACACCAAGCCGTTTTTTTAATTTCTTTTTATCAAATTTTTTAAATCCGAATTTAAGCTAAAGACGATTTAGCTTTCTTAACACATGAAAGTGATACCAAAACGGATACTTTATAATAACATTAGCAAATTACTTTATAATAACATAAACATACTTGCCAAAGTATAAAAAATGCACAAATATAGAAAAACAATAAAATACTAAGATTCTAATAAGTTATGTTATTATTCCTGCCCAGTTTGCATACTTGCATATCAAGACCTCAACATTATTAGACTAAAGGTACATCCATGTTAAATGAACGTCAGGAATCTGATTTTAATTCATAGTGTAACGATATACATTCGATCTGTATATTTGATTCTTTGTGAAAATGAAAATTATTATCTAAATAACTCGACTAATACATTTAGAACAAATAGGTCGAAAAGTATTTATCTATACTAATATTATAAAGCTGAAGAGTTTGTTTGTTTGTTTGTTTGTTTGTTTGTTTGAACGCGCTAATCTCAGGAACTACTGGTCCGATTTAAAAAATTCTTTCAGTGTTAGATAGCCCATTTATCGAGGAAGGCTATAGGCTATATATCATCACGCTAAGACCAATAGGAGCGGAGCACCAATGAAGAATGTTTCAAAAACGGAGAAAATTTATTACTATTGAGAGACGCAGACGAAGTTGCGCGGGTCAGCTAGTTTATGAATATGTGTGTTTTCTGTAGTTGTCATTAAAACATTGTAAGTTATAGTTTATCATCAAAGAAGCGAAAGTCATCTGTCCTGTCCCATTTTTATAATTAACACTTGGATTTACTTTATATAAATTTATAAAATGGAATTTCAAGAGTTTCAATTGGAAACATTTATACAAGTAACTTTCTACTAAACGATTAAGACCTTAAATCGATTATTTCATATTATTAATTCGAATAAACGATAAATGACTGGTCCTCTGGAATTATTAATTATTTATTTATGAATTTTAAAATTGAAAAAATATTATTAAGTCACGTATTGTGTAACGGAGAGGTCGTGTGCGCAGGTGGCGTGGGCGCCGGGCAAGGGCGTGAAGGGACGCGAGTGGAAGGACTACTGGGAGGCGGAGCTGGGCGTGTCGTACCTGCCCTGGGCCGCGCTGCACCAGCGCTGGGCGCTGGGCGCGCTGTCGCTCGACGCGCTGGAGGACGGCGGCGCCGTGGACGAGGACACGCTGCCAGCCTGGCTCCCGCCCAGGGTACGCACCTACACTACCCGATAACTCTATTATACTCGTTTGCAGATTTTCAGTAGACATCCAAACTTAATAAAAAAAAACTAGACTACTTATTAAACAAAAAATCCTCACTGCATAATAGTTAGACATTATGTCTGATTTACAATAATTTTACTAAAACTAGAGATCGCATGACAGTCTGATTTCAAGAGTTTAGATCCCGTTTTATTTCGTTGACCGGTATAATTTGACCTTGAAGTACATACAAAATACTGTACTTGCATAATATTATAATTTAATAAGAGGCCGCGGCATGATGGTCACGTGAATACGTACGACGTCATCATTTGGCAGAGTAATTTTAATTTGTATGAAAATTTAATCTTGTAAAATTAGCACTTTAAGGACATTAAAAAAAAATACATATTTCCGTATTCAGTAGAACAAAATGAAGAAGGAACTTGAATAGTTTGCCACAAATTCAAATCACCAAATTATTATTTGTATTTTCGCGCCAATTTACAATACAAGCCAACTAATCTTTATATTATAAAATGGAGTCGCTTTTTTTTCTCGCTTAGATCTTTCAAATTCGTTTTTTAATGCGGTTTCTTTTAACGTATTTTAATTCAAGAGGTGGATTTATATGTATAATAACATCTGTTATATGCATATTATATATGTGGAATACCCAGAATTTCAAAGATTTGTAATTTGAAATCGTAAAAAACATATTTTTGTACTCCTACATTGCAAACGCTGGCTAAACCTTAGATAAAGATAAATTAAAAGATAAATTGTCAAATCTAAAGATAGATCAAAATAATGTACTCATTGTAACTCTTCAAATCTACAAAAAAGACTGCCATGATATATGTATATCTCCTAATATAATATAACCCACAGTGACCATTTTTATCTTTCTGATATTACAAAAAATAATGGGTAATTTACGAAGCTATTTGTTAACAATACAGTGTTATTCCTTATCCAAATAAATACTTAGATATGTTGTGGATTTAATGTAGATCAAAATTGCCATTCACAGCATAACATTAAAATTAATATCTTTGTAGATATCAGAGATTTAAAATGCGGGGTCAAAACAGCGCGGTCTTGTCCTTCACGATAACCTCTGAATGTGTATTTAAAGTAAATATTTTTTTAAAGTTACTGCTCGGAGCTAACTTTTGCATTCCAATGCATACTATATTATGAAAATTTACTTTTTTTCTATCAGATACTACCAAAATCCATGATGGATAACATCACAATGCTGACGGGTATGCCCCCGGCGGGTCCCGGCATGATGGGCGGCAACCTGGCCGGCCTGCCGCCCGGCAACCTGCCGCTGCCGCCCGCGAGCCTGGCGGGCCCCCTGCCGCCCGTGAGCCTGGCGCCCAACATGAGCCTGGCCGGCGCGTCCCTGGCGCTGCCGCCCAGCATGCCCGCGCCCAGCGCCGCCCTGCCCCTGCCCGTGCCCAGGATGCCGCCCCCTGGGTAACCTTATTACTTGTGTCTAACTATAATGAACGATATTGTACGTTCACTCATATTAGCTATGGTCATCAGAGGCCTGGATACATATAGTTTTATCACAGTTTACTTGTTCTGTATTATAGCAGCGTTGCCACCTTTGTACCACTTTTCACTAATATGATAAGACTTGACTGTTGATTGAAAAAAGTGGCTCATCTGATATTATTCATATGTTTCGTGAGTTTTTGAAAGATTACATATTTAATAACCATCAACACTAGTAAGGGCTTTTTTAATTCTTAGCAATCTTGAGTCCCATATTCAATTAGCAATATTGAAGAAATTGCTATTTGTTAAACGTTATTAGAAACGTACCCTTATAGTTATATTAACATGGAAATTTGTTGTGTACAGTATGAGCGCTGGCATGCCCCCCGGCATGACCCCAGGCATGCCCCCGGGCATCAGGCCGCCCAGCATACCTACTGGTGTACCAGGTAAATATAACAATCTTTTTCATCCCTTATCTTCACTTGTAATGAGATTTATAATTCTTAATCAAGAAGCTGTTAATTGACGGGCCTGTTGGTCTAGTGGTTAGTGACCCTGACTGCTAAACCGGAGGTCGTGGGTTCGATTCCCACCCAGGACAAATATTGTGTGATGAGCACGGTCATTTGTTCTGTGTCTGGGTGTAATTTGTCTATAGTATGTATGTATTCAGAAATATATAAGTATGTTTATCAGCGGTCTGGTTACCATAGTACAGGCTTTGCTTAGTTTGGGATCAGACGGCCGTGTGTGAGATGTGTGAGAAATATTATTATAATTTATTATTAAACATGTAGACAGGGACCTACCTCAGTTGTTGTTTTATTTTAAAATATTACGGCCATGTCTTTGAATTGGCTACCTAGACATTTCATTAAACTGACCGTATCTTTTATATTTAATCCTTTTATCATATGTAAATTCCCATTTGAAAACATTAATGATTTATCATGTTTAACAAAAAATTTGAACACTTACATTATATTCCACTAACTTTTAAATTGCCGCGTTTCATAGTAAACTATTATGACTAACTAACGAACTAACTAACCTTTGAATTGCCTGACGTTTCGACCAGAGTGCGCTGGCCGTGGTCGCAGGCGGACTGCTGCTGGTATGTAATACCTATAAAACGCGTTTCTTCCTCTTAATTTTTCTTTTTTTGTTGCATTTTTTGTATTCGCTTTTATACAGTATAATTGATTGTCACTATTATGCATGAGCATGAACAATAGGGAAACAATTCAGGGTATTAGTATAGTCGTCTTCCTCAGCCTTTTTCTGTACACATAGGTCACGACCAAATTTTTCCAAGCCCTCCTGTCTACGGCCTTGGTCATCCAGTCATGTCTCCGGACAACTCATAGTTTTGGTAGATGTCCGGTCTGGTCTGGTGTTGGACTATGGTCTCCATTCCACAACCCTCCTTGCCCATCGATCTTTGGGCATTCTGGCGATATGACCAGCCCAAGTCCCCTCTAGCGTAAGTATCCCTCTAACGGGTCCTCTGCTTAATCCACTCATCTCGTTTTCGGTCGCGCAATGTGATTCCTAGCACAGCTCTTTCCTTCCCCTTTGCGCTATTCTGAATTTTTCGATTCGTGACATGGTTTCGATACCGTAAGTGAGCACAGGCATAATGCACTCCTACTAATTATTGTCAAATGATGGTTTGTCTGTGTCATGTAGTCGTGCGTTTAAATGTTCATATCGTCAAACGCTGTTCATTGATCTGGGCCAAAGTGATTAGTTTTAAAAGATATAAATAAAAAATTTATCAGCAGACGTTCAGGCTTTTGTAACAATTTTTTTTTGTAGGATAATAGGATATTGATAATAAGTAATAATAAAAACTCTATGTACATAATGTATGGGAGAGTTTTTTTACGAAAACAAATTTAAAGGAGCGGACGATTCGCAAATCAGATTTAATTTCATATGGTTTTTGATACAATTGTGTAACATCAATCCTCTTGCTTTCCTGGAGTCTGTGATAGTGATTTCATGAAAAGGGACGGAAATACGTAACAGAAAGTTGAAAAAACGCGTGCTATTTGATTTGGTATTTGCTGTTTGCTCTGATTTCCGCATTTAGATTTGAGAGTGGTCCTTTATGCCAGCCAGAAGCTCCTTCCAGAAGCGCAGAAGCCTCCTGGGACGTTCAATTAGCCATTTTGATTATTTTGCGACTACTGTAAAGCTGGCTCATTTTTATACGTATTTACTTAATTTGCTTAGTAGATAGTTTGGTTTTAATAAATAGAGTTTTTGTTTTAATTTCCAAATTTTAAAATATATATTTTTAAATTTATTGTTGTAATGAAGCACTTTACCTAATTTTTTTACCAAAAGAAGTTTTACCTGCTGCAGAATTTCAACTTGCTATCCCTTTTATAACTACAAATTTAAAGTTTTAAAATACCTGTAATCTTATTTCTTTTTACTTTAAAATTAAAATGTAAACTGAAATTGTTTTTTTTTTCGTTTAGGTTTACAAAATGATCCGGGTCTTCCTCCGCAAGGTCCTCTACTACGGTTTCCTCCAGGAATGCCACCACAGTCCATACCTCAACCGGGTAAGTTCAGTTTTATTATTATTCATTAGCCGTTTCTTGCAGTTTAACCTGCTTATATGTTCACTGTTTCGTTTTGAGAGGTATTTTATTTTATTTTTTCTCTGTTTTGGGATAAATACAGCTAGCATTATTGAAAAACACATAAGACATAATACATAAGCATCTGATGGCCATTTACAAATATCCGCGATTAGAAAATACGCGCGTAACATTAAATTAGAAGTCAGTAAACAAAGACAAAGCCAGCACACGTGGTCAATCGAAAAATTTATTAGCTAACATTTTTTTAAGTTTAGAAACACTGGTATAGGTCTATTTCATATTGAGATGAAATTTTATTATACTGTCGACTTGCGCGTTTTAAAAATGAATTTTGTCTGTATGTACTCCTTACGCAAGGAACATACAAAAGACTAGGATTGCGCAGAATCGTGGGATGTGTTACTAATCCTATCTTACCCAACAACTCAGGGCACTCCACTGAACCATTGGCGATTATTATAGTATTATATGGATATAGTATAGTATGGATATTGAAAGCCTGCAACTTTTATTAGAAATTATCTGTTACCCGCGACTTCGTTCGCGTGGAATTTGAAAAGTGCTGCCTCAGTGTCGTAGTGCTTTACGCGACTGCAGTCCATAAGGCCTCGGGTTCGATTCCCGGACCGGGCAAAATTTTATAGGGTTTTCCTAAGAGGAAAAATAGCTTAAGTTTCTCTTTATATTGACGGCTACTTGGTAGTAAAATTTTATCAAAATATTTAAGACAGGCAGACAAAAATACTGAAACTGGTTTGAAGCATAGGTATCATGTAATTTATTTTTTTTACTCTTTATACACAAATGTGACAAAAGCGGACTTAATGGCGTAGGCATTTTCTCCCAGTCAACCTTAGGGCGATGTAGAGCCAAAACATGGTAGATGCACAAAAGAAATGCGATTTTATCAAAAAATATAGCATATATAGGATATCATATACCCAGAGTACTTATATTAATTACATTAGAATATTTTTAATAAATAATACATATACAATAAGCGATAATAATACTGCCACACACAATACATAAGTATTTATAGATTTATACATATAATAAATTTTAGAAGTGAAAGTAAAAACAAATAAGATGGAGTTTAAAAAATGTTTCCGCCACAGGTATTTCAAGATTTGCCGAGTTTGTACATGACCATGTGAGCATGAAAAAACCTACTATTTTGATATACAAACAGACACTTCAATTTCATTTATGTGTATAGATTAAACACAATAAAAGGAAACATTTCATACCTCTGTTCTTTAGTTGTATAATCAAACTGATCGGTGCCTGGATCGGTTTAATCAGTAAAAATACTTGTATTTTTTATATTATGTAGTATGTATAAAGACTTTTATATCTGTGATCTGTTGTACTATTTATAATTGAACTGAACCATTAAACAATAGGAGTTCGTGCTTAATTTGAATGGACGCTATCGAATAATTTATAATGTAAGGTCAATTCGCGGACGGTGGTTGAACGTAGTGTTTGTTCGTCGTCCGCAGGCATGGTGGGCGGGTTCCTGAGCAGCCTGCTGGGCGTGGGCGTGGGCGTGGGCGGGCTGGTGGGCGGCGTGCCGCTGCTGCACCCCGCGCTGCACGCGCCCCGCGCCGCCCCCGCCGTCTCCGCCGTAACTAGCTCTTGTCTTATTACCTACCATTATTTTTCTACAGTTTCCCCAATTTTATTTGAAGATGTAAAAAGATTTTTCTGGTTTTTATAAAAAACCACAAAGCCATAAAACTCACTTTGTGTACGTAACCGTATTTAAACGGGACAAACGAAGGAGATAAATTGGGATAAAAAAACAAGGCAGTAATAATATATCTGGGATGGAACGAGATCAAAACAGTAATTAAAAAAACATTCAAGCATTATAACATCCATATTCTATAACTCCGACAAACTTTCTTTACTCTAAATGTAAACAGTGATGTATATTATTGTCCAAAGTATTATTATTTGTATAAATTAAGTATATGGATGAGTTTTTTTAAATTCAAATCCAGTATTCTCAATTTCGAATCGTAATTTCTAGATCCGAATAGATATGAACTGAACAATAAAACTCTGATTCCACAATCAATTACTTAACATCGAACCAATAACCCTATTTATATAAAGAACAAACAACATACTCTATGAAATATATAATTATGTTTGAAATAAAGTAAACCTCGAACTGAACCAGCTGTGTAAAATAACCTCAAATATCTTAAACTGTGCGATAATTATTTACGTGGTCTTCATTTTTTCCATATGTTTAACAGAGAACTGGCGAAGTAAGTCACAGTGATGACGCTATGGACTTGGACCCCGAAGATCACAACGAGGAGACCAACGGTGACATTACAAATAATGCGCCACCCGCACTCCTACCCGACCAGGTACAACCATTAAACACACAACATATTCTTCACGGGTTCTAATTATAAAAGACATGCAAATAATAGGTAATAATAACCTCACACATCTCACATACAGCCGTCTCATCCCAAACTAGGCAGATCCTGTGCTATGGTAACCAGACTGCTGATAAACTTACTTGTATATTTCTAAATATTTCGATAAATGAGTTATTTCTGTTCTTTTCTTCTTTAAAAATACGACTCCCGCACTAGGAACAAATCCTGTGTCGCGAGGGACTTTACAAACATACATGAAACGGACACAAAGAACACCCAGACTCAGAACAACAATTTGTGAATCACACACAAAGTGTCGTCCCATGTGGGGATCGGACCCACAACTCTCAACGTAGTAGTAAACGGCGTGGCGACCGCTTAAACCACTACGCCATTCGTGGAGTCATATTGTAGATAAATTACCCCTTTTTTTTCTTTTTTTTTCCGTGCGGAAATCCCCTCGGATACCACCTGTCGGTGGCATGTCGGACTCGAACCGACTAAAACCGCACGCCGTCTCGGGTACTAATAGCCGGGGAACCAGGTATACCCTAGAAAGGAAGTCCCTGGTGCTAGATAAATTACCCCTAGGCATGGATCAAATGATCGTGGCTCATCACACAATATTTGTCCAGGGCCTAAATACTGCTATTTTAATATTGTATCAATAGACTGTCATCGGAATATTTTTTCACTTTTCGTATTCTACTAACTATGAAAGACTCCAGATGACTTTTCCCTGATATAAATGTCGTCGATGTCTTTGTTATAGTTTAAATTAGTTAGGAAATTATAGATATATTTTCCAGATATGACAATTTTACTGATATCACCATTGTCACTACATCGACAGTCTATTGACACTGTGGATTTATGTTAGTAGAATACCGGTATTTTGACCGATATCATTGGCATCTCAGTAGCGTGTCAATGGAATGACAGTAGCTTGTACGTTGAACTAAATAGCAGAATTGAAGCCCTGGGTGAGAATCGAGCCCACAACCTCCGGCTTAACAGTCAGGGTCACTAACCACTGGACCCATCAAATAAATATTTTATTGTAACAATTCCTTGTCTTCGCACAGATCCAAGCGCTGTTATCAAAGCCTCCACCGAACTTCAACGCATCCGAACCGCCTCCAGGCTTCAACCTTTCTGAACCTCCACCGTTCAATGTGAACCAGCCGCCGCCATCAACAGAAGAGAAACAGGACGATGAGAGGAAAGACAGGGATAGAGACAGGAGAGAGAGAGACCGCGATAGGAGAGACAGAGGGGATAGAGGAGATAGAAGAGATAGAGATCGCAGGGATCGAGACCGTGGCAGGGATAGAGACAGGTGAGGTTTATACCATAACATACTATTTTATTTAAGACTAGCCTTTGCCCGCGGCGTCGCCTGCGTATGTGTCAGTTATCGCTTTAAAAAGTAACATATGTCTTTCCTAAAGAATCAAACTATCTCTACCTCTATACCAAATTTCATTTAAATTGGTTATTGATTTGCCATACAAACTTCCATCCTCCTTTTCACCTACTTAAAGGATTATTTCTTAGATAAAAACTGTCCTATGTCCTTTTCCGGCTCTCTTACTAGGTCTATACCAAATTATATCTAAATCGGTTCAGGGGTTTAAACGTTAAGACACGTAACAGACAGACACACTCGCATTTATAATATTAGTATGGATGTCAAATATATAATTGCAATGACAATTTTTATTCCGATCATTTATCATTAATATAAAATAATAAACTTTTGGTGTTGTAAGGATGACATACCTCCCCATTTGCGAAATTTGTTTAACAAGCGGTATAAAGAATTATCTTAATAATGTGTAGTAGGGTGTTTTTTTATAAATTTAGATAGATCGGGTACCGTCGACAATAGATAACGCACGACCCCCACCAGTTTAGAGCCCCTTGTTTACAAGTTTCCCGCGCCTTACCACTTCGTCCAACAGAATAACTCGTCTCCCGCGTTTTACTATAAAAATATATTTTATTTCTTGAGTTAACAAACAGTAACTACAGAAATCTTATAAATAAATACACAATTTACACAAGTTATTAGCTGTAGTACCAACACCGTTAACTACAGATTACTTTTAAAATACTATATTCGATACTTCAGTTGAGATAGGTATCACAAACTAAGTTTACCAATTAGTATAGTCCATCAACGTCGTGGCGGGGACGAGGTACTCAAGATGTCAGCGGGTAGCGGGTGGTGTAGCGGGGAAGGGAAACACTTCTCTTCGTGTGTAGCAGTGTGCTAGAATGACGCGCTACCTCGCCCCCGCCACTGGCTGTCAACATTAGGTCGCTTCACTCCTTGATTTAGGGTCCCCGTCGAGAAACTAATTGGGCATCCCAAAATACACACTCGAGTAAAAGTTTTAATGTGCAATTAAAACTCCTTTGTGACTATTTATTAATAATACATATTTAAATGTAGGGGTGATAGAGGAGAAGACAGGCGAGATCGCGACAGGGACCGCGGACGCGACAGGAGAGACCGCGACAGAGACAGGGATAAAGACAGAGATCGCTTCTCAAATCGAGGACCTGACATCAATAGGTGAGTTGGTCGATTTTATTATAGTTAAACCGCCGTAAGCTTGGCCCTCCTGATGGTTTGGGGGACGCGGGGTGGGGGTGCATTCAACCAGTTAGCTAGTGCGTCACTGTCCGCCGGCAGTGACTGACGTGAAAGCATGGCTGTACGTGTTATTTTTCTTAAGACTGCTACACACGGTATTATTTTGCAACATGGATAATCTGCCGACTCTGCGTCACAAAAAGATTTAAAAACTTGAAGTTCGGCTTACAGAGGTTCTACTGTTAAAGTTCTAATAAAGAATATTTATTATTTTACTTAATTTTTAAAATTGTATCTGAATATAATTTATATGATGAAGATAAGGTGATTTTATTAAAATTATTTTACAGTATAAAATTTTACAATTAATCATAAAAACTTACAATACACTGACATTATAATACATGGAAATAAATTCGATTTTTATTACATCGTGTGTAGATTAAATCTCAAACAAATAAATCTGAAGATATCGAGTTAGTACATCGTGTCATGTATAGCCGAGCGCATCACCCGCCCCGCGTCCCGCAAACCATCAGGAGGGCCAAGCTTACGGCGGTTTAACTATAATCATAAGAAATGGTACATTTATTAATTCCATTACCAGAATTTATTTTAATCCAAAAACAAAAACGAGACTTCTTCGTGTCAATAAATATAACTAATAAACGTATATTTTTAGTTGTATTTTCATAGTTATCCTTTAAAACTGTTCATTTCAATCAAAATTTTAACGCCTATATGCCGCACTTTTAGTTTTATGGAATTTTAAATATTTAACATACCAAATGACGACTCTAACGAAATATCATTATTCAAAATCAGTTCAGCTGTTAAGTAGCATACTATGTTAGACATACATACACTTTGACCAAAGTTATAACCCTCGATTTAGCTTCGACATAGTCTGAGGGCCTAGTGTAACTCGCTCTCCACAGCGAGCCCGTTCAACGTTGCGATTGGTGGAGATTCCAGCGCGGACGAATCACAACGTCGCACGCGGTCACTGTGACGATCTAGTTGATGTGAAATAAACTCCCACTGAATAACAATGTCCGTGTGGTGACGGATCAAGAATACGGAATGTCACCACCCCTATTCATCCCGTGGGTGTCATAAGAGCCGACTAAGGAAGCTAAGACTGCACGAATGGCGTAGTGGTTTAAGCGGCTTCCTACTACGCCGAGTGTTGTGGGTTCAAACCCCACATGGGACGACACTTTGTGCGATCCACAAATTGTTGTTCTGAGTCTGGGTGTTCTTTGTGTCCGTTTCATGTATGTTTGTAAAGTCCCCGCGACACAGGATATATTCCTAATGCGGGCGTTGTTTTTTTGTAAAAAAAAACTACGCAGGACAACAGCACTGTAAAAAAAAGGCAAACGACACAAACCCTATACCAACCCCTCTGGTCAGCGTGGTATACTGGGCCAAAACCTCCTTTCTAAGGTCTATGTCCAGCTGTAGACTATTAAAGGCTGCTGATTTGATGATGATAATATGAAACTCCCACTTGGCCCTCTGTTAAAAACTGCTGCTTTTCACGGTAAGGAGTCCAGGAGTGTCCAACATATGTTTACTAACATCGAATTTCGTACGTACATAAACATAAAACAATACTCCAGCCAAAGATATAAAACCATTTTAAAATACTCTAGAACCTTCCTTGTAATACTTGTTTTTATATCACAGAGAACAGAGCCGCGAGAAGTCTCCAAGGAACGCGAACCCCAACGAAAATCCAGAAAAGAGTTTACAAGAACGTCTTTGGGAGATGGCCAACGGCAAACCCGCCAGGGATGATAAGCGGGAGGAGTTTGAGCAGCCGGAGGCAAGGGAGGGGAGCAGGGAGAGGCCGCCATTGATCGACAGGGTACCGGCCAGGCATGATGGACCGCCGCCTGGTTTAGATCCTAGTGAGTATTGGAAACTTATCTTTTAACCTTTTTCAGAAGATGTAGGAAGTTATCAATTCGCTTGTATTTTTTTATATTTGTTAGCTCAGAACTCCGTGTTTTTTTAACCGATTTAAAATTCTTTTTGTATTTGTAAGGGTATACTTCCCTTTAGGGACGTTTCAAATTTTAAAATAAATACCACTTCTAAGGAAAGTGGAAGATTAAGTTATGAAGAAAACAGTTTATCACAATTTTTCTTAATGTAGATGCGTTAAAGCCGGTTATATTAAACAAAGTTAATTATTAGGGGTTGAAGTATGAAATTGCCGATTTGTACTGAAAAATTGAAAATAGTTTTTTCTAAGATGTAACATATTTATTTAATCAAAATATTCCTTCATTATCTAAATATTGCTGTAACCTAAACGGCGGTTCATCTTATGTATAAAAATCTCGTGTCACAATGTTCGTTCCCGTACTCCTCCGAAACGGCTTGACCGATTCTCATGAAATTTTGTGTGCACATCGGGTAGGTCTGAGAATCGGCCAACATCTATTTTTCATACCCCTAAATGGTAAGGGTGACCCATCCCTAATTTTTTTTTTTGTTTTGCAATACATCGTGTGCCGGGTCAGCTAGTTTACTATAGAATTTTGGGGATCTAGATTCGATGAACTCTGTGTAAGCATTTTGTACTGCCTCCTGTCAAGATTTTTTTTATCACGTAGCAAATTGTACAAATCACGAAAAAATGGTAGTCCGTTTGAACAAAGTCTGCCGAGTACGGAGGATGACGTATGGTTTCTAACTACAGCTCCTGGACAGTTACAGCGGTTTCTTGTTCAGTGTGAGGTCTTGCCTTATCATGGAGCAATAATGGTGAAGATCGATTCACGAGTCGGGGCTGTTTCACTGCCAGTTTCTCCATCATTGTTCGAAGTTCGGCACAGTAAACATCTGCTGTTATTGCCTGAGTAGACCTGAGAAAGCTATAGTGAATAACACCATGAAGAGACAACCAAGCAGTTACCATTACCTTTTTATTGGTAAGCTTTGCTTTAAGGCACTGTAGGCGTGTTTGACCTGGGGTCAGCCATTGAATTTTCCGTTTACGGCTATCGTAAACAATCCACTATACGTCACATGTCACAATTCGATCCAATATTCCTTTATTTCTGTACCTTTTCAACAAGGAAACACAAGTTTCAACATACATTTCTTTCTGAAGATCAGTCAAATCATGTGCACCTATTTTTCATATTTTTTTATCTTATTGTTTTGATGAGTCAATGAGTGAATATTGTAACCCATGCCGCTAATTTCTGGGTAATTTCACTCGGAACGGCTTTCATCATCTGCAATTCAGCGTTATTCACCTGTTGGGCGGTCTTCCACGTGATTCGTTTTTCAAGTCGAAGTTTTCATTACGATAGCGTTTAAACCAAAAACGCACGGTGCGTTCATTAGCAGTCTCCTCTCCAAACACAGCGCTGATATTGCGAGCCGTTTCTGCCGCGATAGTTCCGCGTCGGAACTCGTATTCAAAAATGACTCGGTTTTTCGAAGTATCTATCTTTCACGTCTAAATAAAGAAAAACAATTGAAAGTCAAAAATCTAACGTTACACATTTTTAAAAAGAATAACCTCATAGGTATCATGTGAAAAAAGTTTCACACGAAAATCTCACACCATGAAGATTTTATGTCAATTTAAAGTATCTATTACTATACAACGGCAATTTCATACTTTAAACCCTATTGTTATATTAATGGCTCTGCAAGCTCTAACATTAACAGTCGTCACTCACACATATAACTAACCAAACAGGCTAGTATTAGTCTTTCACGGACTAGGTTCGCACAAGATTAACAAACGTAAAGAATCGCATTTTTTTTTAATATTTCGGTATCTTTAATTTTTTATTCAAACCGTAATATACGTTTTGCGTGCGCTCGAGTTCGAGACTCGGCAAAAAAAGCAAACGGACAGACACACTAAAAAAATAAATATTCAGGATACGTTATGTAAAAAGTAGTTATTTGAGATGTGGAGTAGCGGGGTGTTAGTTGTATGTGTTTGTGCGCAGCGGGCGGGCGGGGCGAGGGGCGGGGCGCGGGGCGGGGCGAGGACTGGCGGGGCGGGCTGCTGGCGCCGCCACTCCGACCCGGTCAGTGCCGCTCTCTTGATTATTTCCTTCATTCCTTCGTTCACTCTTTCTTCATTTTCGTTCATTCTTTCACATAAGTCTACGTGTCTTACTTCGACTAACACACAGTGTCTATATCTGTCTATTTACTAAACATTTTGTCAGTTATTAATATGACCATGGAATAATTTCCGACTTCTGAAATAATCTTCATCATCGACAGTCTTTAATAGTCCACTGTGGAACATAGGCCTCTCCTTTGAAAGAAGGTTTTGGCCTACTATACCATGTTGTCCGTGTGACGACGGATTAAGAATACGGAGTGTCACCACCTACCACTATTCATCCCGTGGGTGCCGTAAGAGCCGACCAAGGGAGCAAACTACGTAGGACAACAGCACTGCAAAGAGAAAGAAAACTTGAAACAAACCCTATACCAACCCGTCTGGCTAGCGTTGAATAGTAGGCAAAAACCTGTTTTCTAAGGCCTATGTCCAGCAGTGGACTATTAAAGCCTTTTTATAATGATGACGATACAATGCTGACCAGACGGGTTAGTATTGGCTTTGTTTCAAGTTTTCCTTCTTTTTGCAGCACTTCGTAGTTTGTCTATAAAAATAACCTTTCATTATTGTTATTGTTTCTTACACTAACTTTAACGGTTATTTTCTACATATTTACTTACCTTTAAACTTGATAAACTTTAATACCAATTCTTCACATGTTAATGTTCACAACTTGTTATATTGACTTATGAATTATTCCCACTTACAATAATTAACCATTTTAATTTACAGAATTGAGAATGAGAGGACCCCCTGGACAACCAATGCAAGGTATGAATCTTCAAACTATTATAACATACTGATCTTTAATATTGAACTAGTTCGAATGAAAAGGAATGCACGGATGGCGTAGTGGTTTAAGCGGTCGCATCGCCGCTTCCCACTACGTTGAGTGTTGTGGGTTCGAACTCCACATAGGACGACACTTTGTGTGATCCACAAATTGTCGTTCTGAGTTTGGGTGTTCTTAGTGTCTGTTTCATGTATGTTTGTAAAGTGTCAAGCGACACAGGATATATTTCTAGTGCGGGAGTAGTCTTTTAAAAAAAGGGTCAAATTCTATTAATTATTTAATTATTGGTTAATAGATACAATTCTCAATATTATATAGAAACTGTTCTGTTAATTTGAAAGTAACTTGTATTGAGTTTTAACAACGTTTGATATAAACCTATCAGTGTAATTCAAACTTCATCAACTAGACTTGTTTTTACTTCATCATTCGTCGTCCATGAGTCCCCTTTTAAAGGTAGGCTTTAATTTCATTTTGCACTTTCCAGGACCTTGGATGGATGGCCCAGGACCGGGACCGTTTGGGCCACGATTCAATGGCATGGGACCACCGTTTAATCGTCCACCTTTTGATGGTCCACGTCCGCCGTTTGACGGAGCTCCGCTCTTTGAAGGTGGACCACGCTTTGAACGTCCTCCTTTCGGGCGGATGCCATTTGATGGTATGAACCGTCCACCTTTTGATGGGCCTCGACCTCCGTTCGATGGTCCTCGCCCGCCGTTTGATGGACCGCGACCACCTTTCGACGGACCGCGACCACCTTTCGACGGCCCGCGCCCACCGTTTGATGGCACGCGACAGTTTGACGGACCGCCTTTTGACGGAGATCGTCCGCCTTTCGACGGACCGCCCCGATTTGATGGTCCTCCAGAGTTCTTCGATAGAGGTCGGCGCTACGAGGATCGTGACCAATTTCCGGACAGAGGCTGGGGCGGAGATCGTGAACGCGATCGCGATTGGGGCGAACGGGAACGAGGTCGCCCTGACTGGGAAGATCGACGCCGAGATAGGCGACCCCGAGAAAATGACGACAGGTTTAACAGGGATCGAAACGACAGGCGTAGACCATTCGACGATAACAGGACCAGGAGACAATCGGACGCCGCGAGGCAAACGGATACGCCCAGACAGCCGGACACCCCGAAGTCAACGGACGCTCCAAGGCAGCCGGATACTTCTAAAAAAGGCGACGTCCCGAAAAATACTGATACCACAATTCAGGAGTTGTCGAAGCAAGATGAGCCTCCAAAAGTGGCAGATCCTCCGAAAGATGAAAGAAACTCCAGAAGGGATAGAGATAGAAAATCGAGATGGGGCGCGGCAGAAGAGTATACGGAGGCTGTGGAAAGTACGGAGCGGCAAACTTCAGTTGATAATGATGATGTACAGGAACCGATGGAGGTTCAGCATGAAATTGTTAATGATGTTAAGAGTTTTGAGAGTGAAGAGACATTTGAGAAACCAAACGTACAACTGGAGCCTGAAGCATTAATGCAACACATGCATGAGGGCAGAAAGCCTAATGGTGAAGAACCCACAATCTCAGGACCTGTACAGACAGATGTAGCCTCAAGAGATACTCATAATGAGGAAAAAGATTACGGAAGCGCTAGCAACGAGGACATTTTTGAGAAGGAGCAAAATGCCGAAGTAAATTACTCGGCACCTGTAAATATGGAACCTGCCCCAGGACCTGTAAGAGTTGAAGCACCTGCTGACTTGTACGATGCCGATGAATCTATCGATACAAGCTTTTCGATACTGAAACAAAATGAGGTGCAACCGGCACCTGTCCCAAAGGATCCGGAGAACGTAAACGATGCCTCAAAAGCCGTAGACATGTTTAGCCCAGAGCGGGAACAAAGGGATGAGAACGTACCTATTGAGCCGAAGGCCGCTGAAAACAAAGAAGGTGTTTGACATCGGCACAAGTGGAAAGTCGGGTATTTCCAGTGGAAATGATTCGGGTGACGTCAGCGAGCAGCACCGCCACAGTGCAGCTACGCTTTGTGGCGCCACAGTCGCGCTCGACTCTCACAAAGCGTGGCCGCACTGCCCGTTATAACGCCAAAGATATTTTTTTATACACAAAACAGAGTTAAAATATACGAGTGCCTTATTGGTTACCAAAGTGGTGTTTTGTTTTGATCGCCGGCTGGCATCGGGTGAAGAGGAACGCGCCTGGGCGCTCAAGTCGAGTGACCCGGGCCAGGTACGGTTGCTAATGATACACATGACGCGCGTCTAGAACAATTGCACGATAAAAACACCACTCCTAGTGACGTTGCAACATGGCCGCGATCCATTTTTGATATCACTTTCTTTCTAGGCCCGTATTTTAATAGACGTCTCAAGTAACGGTTGAATTCTTATTATCTAATATTAGTTTTATATTCAGATAAAAACTTAGCGTCGATTTTAATACAGAACGCTATGAAAGCCAATCGCGACGCCAAACGCGGTTGTCATCGAGAGAGTTGATGTAAAATAAACGCCTAATAGAACCCTCAAAATAAGCTATCACTCACTAGAGTTTGAATCGTTGAATCTCGTTTTAAATGACGTTCAAAAATAAAATATTTACTTAAAAACAGTTTTAATATTAGATTCAAGACTGAGACACCTTTTAAAATACGAGCCCCAATGTCGCTACATTCATGTTGCAACCATTAAATGACCCACAGTAAATAATTTTCACAATTGTACTCGGCGGGCGTTATTATTTAATTATTATATAATGTCGAAATGGAATCAAACAGTAACAAATGTATAGATTTTTCAGTTTGTCGAAAATATAGATAATTAACTTTGGATTGTACGACTGATTGCCATTTCGACATATTATATCGCTAGCAATGTGTGCAAAATACCTCTACGGCGGTCGCGTCACCCGAATCAGCCCCAGGATATGCGCAAGAGTTGGAGCTACGACAACAAACATTCTTCGTGTCTACCCTTTTGCGGACTTTATAAATTTTTAATGCGTTAATATAAATCACGACTATTATTTGTTTTTCAACATTATTTCATTAACTTCGATTTCTCGAATTATTGTATATGTATACATTTATGGACTACTTGAACTAAATTCTATATTATTTAGAATAGGTCACCAAGAGTTTGGTGGCGATAATATTCACTTACTAGATCTATAAACGACTTTAAACATTGACTCATTATGTCTAGGGATTTGGTGGTGGTAGGGAAAGGATTTCAATATAAACGACTATTTAAATCTATATAATAGATATTAACTGTTTTATAAATTTATATAGGCACTATATCAGTAGTTTAATTCTCTATGGATCTAGGTATTATATAGTAGGCTGTCATTTAGTATATTTTAATTGAGAAACACTGCGATAATTGCAACATGTATGCTTATTTGTTTTGGTGTTTATATGTAACATATTTTTATAAAAAAAATTAATGTCATTCTCGTTGAAGTTAATCTTCGCCATTTAATTAGAACATTTTTAACAGTGATAGGATAATTTAGCTGTTTAGATAAGCATTATAATTTCAATGCATGCTTCAGTGTTTGTCATATTTGCTTGAATAAAATTTATAAAAATAATTGGAGCTATGTTTGATTAGACACTCTTTAGGATGTCACCAGCCAGGTCCCATGTCGACGTGCGAGGTCACTTTTGCACACATTGACTAGTTTGTGCCATTTTGTTTTGTTATAATTTCAGCTTTCACGAACCTCGTACACCAGTCGAAATAAGCCTCGAAGTGGCTTTAGAGGACCAGAAGTTGCATTTTGATCCTCAACAGAAAAGCAACTGTTCTAAGTTCTATTAACATCAAAGGAAAAAATATCTCTCATTTGTTTTATTGTCTATAAAATGTTCAAACCACGAATAATAGGTATCTTATTATTATTTTATGTAACCCAAAAAAGAAAGATTAAAAAAGACAGAATATTGCGCATGCGTGTAAGATAACTTGTTTCTGAATATCTATTCGTGGGTGAGCCACATATGGACCAGACTCAGACTCATAGAAAACCCAAATATGCCCCAAGCATACCCCAGTCCACCAAATTTTGGAGAGGTTTGGAGAGCTCAAGTGACAGCAGCAGGCATGGAAATTATTGCTACTCAAGTCATAATGATTTGATGAAAAGATTAGTTTTGATCAGTCTGATTTCACCTGTGATAATCCCTACTTAGATTTTAACATAGACGAAGATAAATGCAAAGCAAAATCAATGAAACCGACTTTTTTTAGATTTAATCCTTTCGCGGTCAGGCTCTAGCATAATTATAATAATAAGTCGTAGTGATGTTGTAGATTAGTCACATGATGAAATGATTTTAAAAACATGATTAATCAATTACACGTGAATGTGTTTTGATCCCATGCCTAGGCAGCAGTGCAGTGCGTACTAGTTGCAGATATCCATGGGCGACAGTAGTCCCTAATAGATCAGCAGACCCATCTACCCCCTTTTCCATAAAGGAAGATATTATAGATATTCCGGCTCTCAAAAATCTGTACAGAATGAATACTTAGATAATTTCTTACAAAATACTTAGATAGTTGATACTAGTTTTACACGGGTAGTAATAGACTTCGGAACCCTACGTATCACGTGGCCAGACTATAGATGTAAGGCCGGTTAAAACCCATTTAAAACCGAAATATACCATTTTTTAGGATTTAAAACTGTTGGTGTTGATGACTATGTTTTTTTTAATTATAACTACATTTCCTTGATTTTATACGTGATATACTTAGCGGATTTTGTTCTGGTTGGTACTTCCGACCAAGCGTAATAATAAGAAAAAATCCCCTACCTAAGTTATAAAAACTTAAATGAGTTAAAAACTGTGTTAGTAAATAAATATTTTTTTCATCGTTTTCAAACTATATAAATAATCAATGAATGATGATGTCTTCTAATCTAGTGTGTGTAATATAATATAAATAATAAATAAGTATAGTTTTCGTGTAGTAGCTAATGTAGTAACTTTCTATTGATTTTCTATAAACTAATTAAAACGAAACGTTACAAAAAATTGCCCACAATGAAGTCAAATTATTTGTAATGTTTACTGATGGTACTTGGTAGAACTTGCTACACGGGATTTATAAAGGGTATTATGACAACAACTAGGACAAGATAGTTGTTATAATAACCTTTGAAAATGCCATGAGGCGAAACCGGTCAGGCCGACTTGGACTGATGTCTTAGATATCCATCTCGGTCCTTGTAATGATGTTTCACTCCTCTAAATAGTCTGCCAATCTTCAGATACTCTAGAACCCTGTGATAGTGGACTGCTGCTCTGATGCAACTGAATGGCATACTATTAAATGCATTGACGATATCAAACGACGCCGCCAACAGCATTTGTCTGACATGTGGTTCAGAGCCAGTGTCAGCACTCGGTAAGGGATCCCGTCTGGCCCGGGGGCTGTGTTCTTGGAACGGATCCGTAGAACAGCCCTCCCTCAACATGTGACAGCTGGAACATCGTCCTCCTGCCTGATTCACCCCGTCGTCTGCGGTGAAGAACGTCATGTGTGCTTCGCTTGTGGCGTGAAAAGTCCCTCAACCACTTCCTGCACGAAGCTGGTTTGAAGAGTCTCTCTAAGGGGGGCCCCACGTTCGGAGTTTTTATTGCAAGATAAGGGCGACCCCTTTTCTTTTTACTTATTTGTCGCGACTAATGGCCAGCTTCAGGGTTTTCCGCGTCTCTCGGTACTCCTCATGAAGCTAGTCCTCCTCATCATCTCCGCGGTGACGTGCGGAGGTCCGCTAACTCCTGGCAGGGCAACCGCCCGAGGCCTCGAGCACGTGTGCGTTACCCCAGCAAAATAATGACGAAAATGGTCATTTAAACGTTATAGATAATTAGTTGCTCCCCTTCTGTAATTGTTAGGCACATTTTTAAATTTGTTTCTCTTAAACTTTTTTAGTTATTTCAAAAAAACATTTCCTGCTGGGGTAACGTTTGAAACGTTACCGCAGCCAGACATTTTCTTTTTTAATTGTAATATTGAAATAAATTTTAGCTAAATAATTAGTTATCTGGACTAGGTAAATGTTAAAACTTATTTGGTATTTGTATTTTCTTCGGCTGCGAAGTTATTCGAGATCCTGCTGGAGTAACGTTTGTGGGTTTGCTGGATCTCTGAAACGGGTAAGCGGGTTCTAACCATCTTTTGTACATAACTTCTTAAGGATTAGTTTTAATTTGTTCGACAATGAAATAACAAAAATAATGGACCGTTTAAAAATTATTTAGGTAAGTATGAAAACACTTCAATACGTCCTAACACTTTGAATAAGACCTCTAAAGACTTACTTCAAACGTTATTCTATTGCTTGTAACTACCTTCAAATGTATACGAATTTTCGTAAGAATACTGTAAGTGACTAAAAAGTTATGATGAAATGTAGCTCTCCACGTTCACGATCACAATGTGTGCGGCCTTTTTTGGCCTCCGATAAACCTGTGTGTGGATATATAAACTGAATGTTATGCCAACAATTAGTTGTTTAGTTCAGTTGTCTACCTGTAAAATTTCGGCATCGTACAGATAATAATTTACGAGATAGTTAAATAAAAGTCATTAGAAGGTGCAAGCCCGTGGTAACCCGACCATGTTTAGGTGGTTACAAAAAAGCGATCACCCAGTACATTGCGCTGTCTTTTAAAATGTTTAGTGTAATACACCTTACGATTTCGGTACAGTTGCGTACAGTGTTAAATACATTCAATATTTATTCATTATTATTACCTATTATTTATTTTGTTCTTTTTTCCTAATTGATCTTAAGCACTAGTTTCTTTACTTAAAATTTCTTTAGTCTGTTTAACTACCGGAGCTACAATCAACAGAAAATGTGCACTGGCCCGCTAAAATTATAAATATGTAGATACATGTATGAACGATTCACCTGACTGCAATAAATCGAAAATTTAAACCATTAAGAAATCGTTTCATTTCTTTGATTTTTTTTGTAAAGAAATAACACTGAAGTAATTGTATTTAATTTTGAGGTATATAGAGCTTAGACTTGAATGCATCAAAATATTTAAAGAAACAAGTCATCTACAATTAGTTAAAATAGACCATAATAGTAGAAGAATACAGTTGTAAATTAGAATGCATCAACATTGCATCGCCCAACAGTCGTATACCTCGTAAAAGTAGGTAATATTGTTCTGTGGTCTATAACGAGAACCGAGAATTATCTATACCTATGTACCTACCTGTGACTGTTGATTTCTGTTAAAAACGAACAGTTGTTGAATGATATTTTGATATAATAACGGTAATTTAATTTATCGAGTGAAAGTGATACATTTTTATAGATAAAATTATTGGTCAGATAATATTTGTCAATCAAGAATCGCCGATAATACATCCTTAGCTAGAACGCGGGAGGGGAGGGGCGAAGGGATACTTCATTGTTTGCAATTTGCATCTAGTGCACTAAACTTGACCCTTAGGCAGATAATATACGTCTTGTAAAGTGCGTGTGCGCTTCCGCTTTCTATTTTTGCAAATATTTATCGTATTCTTGGGAGTTCTTCAATATGTGTGTACCTAATTACTAGTAATGGGAATTAATGCTAATTAGATTCAATTTAAGTAATTGCGAATTCTTGTCTTAGGATGTTAATTACTAATGCTAATATTGAAATTTCGTTCGGGGTGAACAAATTAAAAACGATCATAACTTGTAGGTATATCACTATTACTAATTTTACATAAATAATTTATTTTATTATAATTTAACTCACCGCTATTTTGTGATCAAATATTTTATTTTCTCCAACATTATTACAGAAATAATGCACTGCAGAGTTTGTTCGCGATATGCTAGCCTAAGTCGATTCATCACTTTAAAAAAATCCCAATCTATTTACAAAATACCTATTTACAACGCATACGTTACACTCTTCAAAACTTAAATTACCTATACCTACCCTAAAATTAAACTTCAATTAACAAATACTACACAGGTACCAATTCTATGAACAACTATAAACAATTCACCTAAACATTACGAGAAAACAAAAGCATTCAAAACAATACCTAATCTCCCGGCTGATTACTAATTATGCAATAAACAATCCTAAATAAAAATTATTTAAAAACATGTAGTTTTTTGTAACACTTATGTTCATATCCGTAGTAAACTTGCAAATAATATCCTACATATTTTAAAAGCCAGCACAATGTACTGGGTGATCGCTTTTATGTAACCACCTAAACATGGTCGGGTTACCACGGTCTTGCACCTTCTAATGACTTTTATTTAATTATCTCGTAAATTATTATATGTACGACGCTGAAATTTTACAGGTAGACAACTGAACTAAACAACTAATTATTGGCATAACATTTAGTTTATATATCCCCACACAGGTTTATCGGTGGCCAAAAAAGGCCGCACACATTGTGATCGTGAACGTGGAGAGCTACATTTCATCACAACTTTTTAGTCACTTACAGTATACTTACGAAAATTCGTATACATTTGAAGGTAGTTACAAGCAATAGAATAACGTTTGAAGTAAGTCTTTAGAGGTCTTATTCAAAGTGTTAGGACGTATTGAAGTGTTTTCATACTTACCTAAATAATTTTTAAACGGTCCATTATTTTTGTTATTTTACTGCCGAACAAATTAAAACTAATCCTTAAGAAGTTATGTACAAAAGATGGTTACAATCCGCTTACCCGTTTCAGAGATCCAGCAAACCCACAAACGTTACTCCAGCAGGATCTCGAATAACTTCGCAGCCGAAGAAAATACAAATACCAAATAAATTGTAACATTTACCTAGTCCAGATAACTAATTATTTAGCTAAAATTTATTTCAATATTACAATTAAAAAAGAAAATGTCTGGCTGCGGTAACGTTTCAAACGTTACCCCAGCAGGAAATGTTTTTTTGAAATAACTAAAAAAGTTTAAGTGAAACAAATCTAAAAATGTGCTTAACAATTACAGAAGGGGAGCAACTAATTATCTATAACGTTTAAATGACCATTTTCGACATTATTTTGCTGGGGTAACGCACACCTCGAGCACTCTCTTAAAATGAAAAAATATGTTTATTTAAATCTCTCGTCTTACGCCGTGCTTTGTAAAACTCACGTCACGCTACTCGCGCTCCCTTGCGTGGTAGTGATATAAACACCGTTTACTATTTACGTTCGGGGATTTTTCGTGTTTCATTTCACCTGTTATTGAGACAGGCTTTCAGTGTCAACCGTCATCGGCTTATGATTTTATGTTCGAGCAGCAGTATGTCTTGCGTTGCATTTGTTATTTTAAGTATCATCATTGAAACTAATTCGACAAAGACAAGGGCTTCATAAAACTGCCCGCCCGGGGCCTTGCAATGATCTACCCGCCCGCCGCCTCACAATGGCTAAGGCCGCTACTGCGGCCAGGAGTGCGCTCAGCACACTATAGGGTAGTTAACACCTTAGTCAAACTAGTTACTTTTTATCATCTGTCAAAACGACAATTTTGTATGAAAATGTAACAAAAACCAACTTATGATGTCACTGTTTTAAACTACTTTTTTGATTTATTTCAATTCAACAATATATTTCAATGTTTATTTAATTGAAATTCGTAATAGTTATAAAAAGCTTGAATAATATTATTTTTATAATGATATTTATATGTCCGGAGTCGGCATCGCACCCGCCACCCAAAACCTTTGGCTAAGCAGTCAGGATCACTAACCACTAGGCCAACAGTCCCGTCGATTTAACTAAATTAAAGTAGATTTTTGACCTTTATTGTGTATTTAGTTTTCTACACTATTTCGTACTTTGAGTAAATTTACTTTTACATATTGAGACCAAATCTTCAAGGAAATTTTATGCACAAAGTTGTGTAGTACAAACCTATATGACATCTGATGATTAGCGATGAACTTCTGTGCGGAACATCAGTTCAGCTACTGCTAAAACAAATCGACAAAATAATCTTGACAAAGGTATAGGAGGATAATGTGTATTTTAAGACATTTAAGCTATCTAATTAATATGATTTCAGGATGTTTCAAATGCTCGGTTGCACTTGAGTGACAAATTTCAGTGCAGAACCCTCTTTTTCGGTTGCTAACGATTGTTGGTAATAAAGTTATTAGTAGTTCATCACATCATCACATCAACAGTCTACAATAGTCCACTGCTTGACATAGGCCTCTCCTTAGAAAGGAGGTTTTGGCCTACTATACCATGCTGGCCAGGCGGGCAGTGTTGTCTTGCGTAGTTTTCTCCCTTGAATAGGAGTGGTGACGTATTCTTGATTCGGCACCACACATTAGTAGTTAATATTAGTATCATAGCTTCGAAAATTCCTTTTATGACATTTGTGAGCTCAAGAGTAGATCGGAACTGAATTTCGACCGAAGTCAATACTCAATATATTTATTGCATTCCACAATGTTTACTTAGATGGTAACTTAAATATAAGATCAGATCATCATGGACCCTGTCGGGCACAGCAATAGATGAGAGAGGAGAGATAATACAAACTAACAAAAATAATTATACATCAGTTTTTTATGTACATGCTTAATTTATTGATTACGATTTCGTTCAACTACATTCGTTTTTTCTCTCTTCTTATCACGAGTTATTACAAGAATTGGTCTTTAAAGGGTTTAGTGCAAGTTTATTTCACATCAACAAGTGCAAGTTTATCTCACTCAGAAGCGTTGCGATTGGTGAAGATTTCAGTGCGAGCAAATCGCAGCGCCGAGCGTGGTCACCGTGACGATCTAGTAGATGTGAAAAAACTCACACTTGGGCCTCAAATATAATCAGCGTAGTACTGATGTAGCAAAAAAGAGCTGAAGTATTCCATATTATCAGGATCGCTATATTTTTATAAATCGCTTTACATTATAATTTTTTGTGTACTCCAAAAGTCGATTTAAAAATATTAGAATATGCTTTTATTGTACACCAATTACAGTAAGTTAGTTAAATATTACAGATGGATATGTACAATGGGCGGCCTTATTGCTAATAGCATTCTCTTACAGGCAACCTTTGGACGAACAAATCGACAGTAGATAAGAAATACATATTTATGTAGGTACATTTTTGAAAAAAAATTGCTTCTTTCCAAAGAGTAAGATAGCAACACTTGAGCTTGATGGCTTGATATTTGATTTCTGTCTAATTGACAAATAAAATGACAGGTTTGCTACAAGCGTGTTTTTACTTATAAACAGTTGTAGTTAAATTAAATACATGACATTGGCGAAATTGTTATTATATTACTTCACAAAGCCATTAAACAAAAGTCGAAGTAGTTGTAGTATTGTCTGCGACGAGTGTGTTACTCGCAGTTGTGTGTTTTCTGCGCCGGGCGGGTTATTTGTAGTGTTTATTAACTAGTTACCTTCTTTGAGTGAGAGATAGTTAAGTTTTAATTGAAACGGAATAAATAAAAGTAAAAATGACGGAAGAAGTAATGAAACATTCAGTGCACACTTTAGTATTTAGATCTTTGAAGAGATCTCATGATATGTTCCTTGCCAACCACGGCATGTTGCCGCCTATAGATGAAAAAGCGTAAGTATAATATACTAGCCCCGTCCGCGTGTATTTATCGCGGTAAAAAGTAGCTTATGCTACTCGCTGATAATGTAGCTTTCTATTGGTTAAAGAAATTGTAAAATTGGTTTAGTAGTTTAGGCATGAAACCATTCTCTTTTTAACCCACCAACTTTTTTTTGTACTTAATAAACCTACATGAAGACTTAACACTAGTTCTGAATTTCCTCAACACATTGTTTGACTTTGCTGCTTTGTTTGGTGTAGCAGTTGTCTAATTACAGATTTCTCATATAAATCATCTGTACATTGATATAATAAAAGAAACCTTAGTGAGTTATATTTAATAAATGCAATGGTCTTACTTGTGTGTTTATTTCGGTGGTGCCTGACTAGTTCCACCCTGGAGCACCCTTTTTAAAGGAGTGAAATGTTGATAAGTGTTATTAAGTTAATTAATAGTCAGTTGAGTGTCTACCATATTAGTTTCTTATAATTTCTTCTTCTTCTTATAAAAGACAACTCCCGCACTACACTGTTACTTTTACTTTACAACACACTGTTACTTTACAAACTTACATGAAACGGACACAAAGAACACCCAGACTCAGAACAACAATTTGTGAATCACACAAAATGGGACAACCCGTGTGGGGATCGGACCCACATCACTCAGCATAGTAGGAAGCGGCGAGATGACCGCTTAAACCACTACGCCATCAGTGCAGTCCAATTGATGTAATGATAATGAAATTAACTTCACACATCTCACACATCTGTCTGATCCCAAACTAAGCAGAGTCTGTACCATGGTACTCCAGTTTCTAAATATCTGCATACATTATATAGAGACATTAATAATAACTTCACACATTTCACACATGACAGTCTAATCCCAAACTAGGCAGAGTCTGTACTACGGTAACCAGACTGCTGATAAACATACTTATATATTTCTAAATACATACATATATATAGATAACTTGCACCCAGCCAATTAACAATTGTTCATGCTCATCACACACTTATTTTTCATGGGTGAGAATCAAACCCAAAACCCCTTGCTTAGCAGTTAGGATCAATAAACCAAGTCAGTCAAATGTATTTTTATATGTTATAGGATATGGTTCTCATTTGGTGCATAGTAATATCCATTAGTATTCATTTATTAAGGAAATCTTAATGATACAATGATGATTTATGTTAATTAGTATATCATTATTAGCCACTAATTTACTGTATGACATTTTCAGAGAAAAAATTCTTAAAGGAGTTAAAGCACATGATAGTTATGGGCAAGTGATGGATGCAGTGCAAAAGGCACAGACAGTTAAACAGCAGGACACAAGAAGCCAACCAGAAATGCCACAGGACACAGGTATATAAATACAACTAACTATATCACAATTGTAGGAATTAACACAATCCTGTAATAAATATTACATACTTTGAACTGTGTGGGGGAATTAGTGCTAGGCCCCTTAAACACAAAGGAAGGATCCACCGATAAGGTGCAGTAATCAACACTTGATATCAAACGATAAATGAAATTTATTTTTGCAAGTTAATCTTTTCAGATATATTTACAATTCGGACATTACAGAGGTGTCTTTTTTTCTAAATCCATTTACAATGTTAAAGAGAAATATGTCAGTGCAGTATAGGGTCTGGGTTGGCCTTTTGAAGTAAGGACCATAGTTTTGAGTCTGCCCGTCGCTACTAAAATATAAACTAGCTTTACAAGCCTACATTATACTTACATTTACATACTTAGACAAAAAATATACTAAACAATTACAACAAAAAATTAAATGTTCATCATTTCCAAACATAACAACAATGATAGAAACGCAAATGTGGGAGTGAGCAGCATCAATCCCAAGCAAATTTATCATCTAAATAATCTGTAGAGAAGTTTTGTATATTCCAATCAGTGTGATAACTTTCATTTCATAAGATAATAAATATATTAGTACTTACACTGTTATAGATTAGTACTTACTCTGTAGTAGGTGTGTTTCATTAAATAATATAAAGTATTTTCTTTTTGAATGTGGAATGTGTTTGAACTATAGTGCACTGACCTGGATCACAGCCTGAGCATGTATAATGTAATACATAATTACAAATAATGGAATATCAAATTTAACAGCATACTAATCCCTCCCACATCCACTGTGATATAATAAATCCATTTTCCTTCTTGGCAAAGTGAGAGACAATAACGAAGCAACAGTGGGGATAAAACATATTAAACAACATTATGGGTTAGATCCCCACTTTGTGTGATCCACAAATTGTTGTTCTGATTTTTCTTTGTGTCAGTGTTTATGTATGCTTGTAAAGTCCCCTGCAACATAGGATATATATTCCTAATGTGGGAGTTGTGTTTTAAAAACACAACTCCCACATTAAAAACCAAAAAAAAAAAAAACAACAGTAAAGAATTAGCAAAAAATACCTGTTGCTGTTCTGAAATGATGCACTAACATACATTTCTTTTTGTATTTATAAGTATTGTCTGCATGTTTTATTAGGTTTAAGCAGTTTCATTTTGAAATGAACCGGCTTCTAACTCAGGTATAACTTTATTTCAGTTTATACATAGGCCTGTTAAATATCTGTTGTCTTATGTTTGCTCTCAATTCATATTATTTACTTTTATTTTTATTTTTTAAACAGAGATTGCAGAATCAGCAGCCCTAGGTTCTGAAGGTGCCCTCCTACCTTTTACCGGCCCAACACCCACAGCAGTCTCTGCAGCAGTTGTACCAATGCCGCGCAAACCACCTGCAATGCCTAAACCCAAGTGGCACGCCCCTTGGAAGTTGTTCAGAGTTATATCTGGGCATTTGGGATGGGTCAGATGTGTGGCTGTTGAACCAGGAAATGAATGGTTTGCTACTGGTAATTAAAAAAATAGTATTCATTTGACCAAAATATATGTTATAGTGTAATACATTTTGATTTTAAATAAATCTTAGACACTAATTAGAGTAAAGTACACTTGTCTAATAGTAACATAAGGATATTTATGTTTTTTTTTTTACACAAGAAGATATTAAAATTTAGTTCAAAAAATGTAATTGCTGTCTGTTTAAGTTACATATTATATATAGAAATATACAGAATTGAATGTTGGTTAATTGAAATGGGAAGGCCTTCTGACAATCAAATAGTAGCAGGTTTGAATCTGAATCAGTACATTGTAGACATAAATTTATGGCTAACATATTAGAAATGTAAAATCCACATTATTAATATTATTGAAAAGAAAACTATATAAAGAGACAAATCTTTTAAAAAAATATTACAGTTCTTATGAAGATAGTTGTACCGAAATACAGGACTGCCCTATATTATTAAAACAGCATGTTTATGTGTGTCAAGATCTATAATAAAAAATCCCAAAATCTAAGAGAATTACCTTTAAAATACTTCTACACTGTTAAAGAATTTTTAGAGTCTGATCATGTATATATTGTTATTCCTTCTTTTCTTAATTTTTAAATTATTATTTACTCAAAATGGGCCTATTGATGTTACTATAATGCTATGTACCTAAAACAAGTGTATTTACTCAATCGAAACAATAAAGATTACTTTATACATAAAACAATACTTACAAAATAAGAAACCTATTCTGATTAAACAGTTATAAAAAATGTTACATAAAATTAGAGTTCTAATTTTAAGCCAATATTAAAAATAAATCTAGTGTCTATTTAGATATTTAATTTTTTACAGGTGCTGCTGACAGAGTGATAAAAATCTGGGACTTGTCTAGCGGGAAACTTAAAGTATCCCTCACAGGCCACGTCAGTACGGTGAGAGGTATGACCCACCAGTTTGCTTATATTAGTTTTATAAATTTTATATAAATTATTTGTATTAAATGTATTAAATTGTATTTGTAGTAATATGATTTTAATGTGTATGAATACACTAAAATTATTTATAATTGCAGGATTGGAAGTATCACCAAGGCATCCATATCTGTTCAGTTGTGGAGAAGACAGACAGGTCAAATGTTGGGATTTAGAATACAACAAGGTATGTATTGGCTTTGAAAATTTCTTTGTTTAAGTTGTCATAGTTGAATTTTTTTTTATTGTATATGGCTGTGATATTTCTATACTCTTCTATAACCTAATATTGCCAACGAAAGCAACTCCGTCTGCGGGACAGTTGAAGAATGTGTTGTGTGTGCAGGTGATCCGGCACTACCACGGCCACCTGTCGGCGGTGTACACGCTGGCGCTGCACCCCACCATCGACGTGCTGGTGACGGCGGGGCGCGACGCCACGGCGCGCGTGTGGGACGTGCGCACCAAGGCCAACGTGCACACGCTCAGCGGACACACCGACACCATCGCCTCGCTCGCCTGCCAGGCCGCCGAGCCGCAGGTCTGTACGCTCTGTCTCCTGGACCCGTCATCTGATCAGCTCCAACATACTAAACTTTTGTAATACGCCGTTTATAGATATAAATATAAATTAAAAACATAGCATATATGCATATGCTGCATTCTACCGTCGACGGTTTTATAACTTGGAACTTTACAGTAGAAAATTTCGTTGGCATTGGATTAAAATTAAACTGTTTTTTCAGATTATAACGGGGTCCCACGACTCGACCATCCGTCTCTGGGACTTAGCAGCAGGCAAGTCGATGTGCACCCTCACGAACCACAAGAAATCGGTGCGGTCCATAGTCACACACCCCACGCTATACACTTTCGCGTCGGCTTCCCCCGACAACATTAAACAGTGGAAATGTCCAGAAGGAAAGTTCATACAGAATTTATCTGGACACAATGCGATTGTGAACTGCATGGCGGTTAACCCTGAAGGTGTGTTGGTGAGCGGGGGTGACAACGGCACCATGTACTTCTGGGACTGGCGGACCGGGTATAACTTCCAGAGGTTACAAGTGAGTTTGCCTTCAAATTATAAAAATATGACTATCAAGATTTTGACAGCAGCTTGTCCTGCATAGATGTTGATGACATCAAACAAACTTGTATATGTGTAATTTGTACAAACCCTTGCCAACTAGGGGTTGTAGATCGGCACAGGCATGTAAGCCATCTTCGATAGGTATAATTTAGTAATATTTATTTTGCTAAATATTTTACAAAACAGAGATTGTTGCTATTGTTGCGACTGCCTCGGTAGCTCAGTGGTAGCGTATGCGACTGCTGTTCTGAGGTCTCGGGTTCGATTCCTGGGTCAGACCAAATATTTGTATGCACTGCAAATATTTGTTTTGGAGTTTGGGTGTTTTCTATGTAGGATATGTATGTATTTACAAAAAAAAAGTATATAAGTGTTCTATCAGTCAATCTAGCTTTCATAGTACAAGCTCTGCTTAGTTTGAAACAAGATGGCGTTGTGTGTTAGATGTCTGAAATATTATAAAATATTATTATATTATTGTGTGTTGATCTATGAGTTTACAGTCTACATGAAATATGAATTCAAACAATTTCAAACAAATTTTAAGAAAACTTTTATGAAAGAAAGACATTTCGTGTTTGACTGTATTCAATATCTGTATATTGAATACAGTCATACATAGTTACAAGGTTCATTTTTAATTCATTAACATTAATTGAACTTGTGTATAGAAGAACAAGTAACTGCTTTGGACTTAGTTAATTTGTTAATCTGAGTACAATTTTTAAAGATATATTTAGTATGCACAGTTCAGTATAAATATATGCACAGTCAGTCATAGGATGTGAATATGGCTTGACACTTTAATCGTTAATGGATAAACCATCATTTTCTAAGGAATACACAGTAGTCTATGTGCTATTCCAGACTATATCTATGTCAAAATTCTTTTTGGTTTGGTTTTGAAGCTTAAAATAATTTAAATACTTATAAAATTATCGGGAACTCTTTTTTTAAGTAGGTTAGGCTTTATAGGTTTCGAATTATGTATATACATTTAAATAATTAATTTACTTTTCATAGTTTATTTGTAAAGAACAAATGAGTAGTAATTAATAAATTAATGATAACTTAATAATTGTCGTATATTTTGATGATATTTGAATTTATATGACTCTAAGAAGGACATTTCAATAATTTAATATCCTAAAATATTTTAATTTAACTTTATAATGTTTTAGTGTCAATCTTGATTCTGATAACTACACTGTATAATTTTGCATGCCTTACGGTAAGAAGCACTTGAAACATGTAATTTTCTAACCACTGTAACAGTATTTTCTGCAAAAATAATAATTTAAATTTGAATATGTGCAACTACCCGTGATTTTGTATCTACGGTCAAGACCTCGACGTGGTTACAACGCCATTTGAATGCTTTTGAGTTACAGTTTAAGTTTAAATGATGTACTAAAATTGTAACTGTTTGTTATCCAGGCCGCAGTTCAGCCAGGTTCCATGGACTCTGAAGCTGGTATCTTCTCGATGACGTTCGACCAGTCAGGGTCCCGGCTCATCACTACAGAAGCCGACAAAACCATCAAGATATACCGCGAGGATGAAACCGCTTCTGAAGAAACACACCCGATCAACTGGCGGCCAGAGATATTGAAGAGGAGAAAGTTTTAGATAATAAATTACTAATTTATAAAAAAAATACTTGTTTTATTAAATTTTAAATGAAAGTGAAATGCCTTTGATACTTTTTCTAGTTTTAAGCCTGAGGGCGGTGATAGATTTAAGTGTAGCAATTAAATTTTAAGGTCATTGTTTAACGAAATTTATTCTTAAATTGATTATAGCAATTTATTAGACTGACAAGTGTGTTTAGAGCAGTCAATCCCGGGTTCTCAGGGTGCATATTGTATTTTATGTAAAAAAATTTTTGGGATTGTTAGTGAACCATCTCAATATTTCTTGAAATCATCATAAATATAATGTAAAAATGATTCCGCCAAATATGATCAAGCGTCTGCACGGCCAACAATCTTAGGTACACCTTAAAGTTGATATACCATTGTGTTTTGTTCCTGTGTTTACATACCGAAAAAAATAAGAAATAAAATAAAACAAGTATATAATTATTATTTTTTATTGTTAAAAAAAGGAAAAATTTTAATTGAAAGTTATAAGCAAAAGTGTGTGCCAAAGCAATATACAAGTCGGAATCTTGTTGGAATGTAAACAATAACACAAGCGGGGAACATTTTGAAGTATAAAAACATTTTGTCTTCTTTAAACATTAATAAATATTTTTTTACAAGTTCATTGTCAATTGTAGCATGTTTTAGTGTAATACCAACATTTGTAATACTTTTCTACATTATTTTCTTTGCATGTTATAATTGATATAATGTTTAAACAAAAATTATACATCAAAAAAAAAAAGAAATTGCCCAAAATTCGTGACAGCCTAAGATTTATAATATGTATCTTATGTGCATGAGACAATAAGCAATATTTTGAATAAAAAATTGATTTTAAAAAGTGTCACCGACTTTAATGCACCTAACATGATAAATTCTTTTGTTCATCCCTTAATTTTCCACTCTTGGTTTCTTTAAATGGGACTAACCTTAAGTAAAGACAAACAAGAAATATAAAAAAGACTTCAAAAATGGCGAATTAAGAACCTTAATTGTAGAGCCGTCGGTTCAAAATTAACAGGCCCTGTTTCATGAGTACCTAAGATAGCTGTTCAGAACCCACTATTAAAACCGAAAGACACATCTTATTTTAAATTTTTAAGTGGCTTACTTAGTGCTTTTAGCTTCTAAAAACTTTTAAATTACTCGCCATCCATCTCTGCAGCAAATCAGATTACAAATTTTAGTCGAAGCAGCACAGAGTTTCATTTTAGCCTATAATTATTTAGACATAAATAGAATATTTTGTGACTTATGTTATTTTTCTCTAATATGTAGTAGAATATTCTATATTACGATATTGGTATGGGAGGCAACCTCTTATTTAGTCGGAACGTTTGTTTTAGAATCAGCTGTCGCACTTATTATTGAATAATGCATGACATTGGAATAGGTAGTATAATTAAAATCATGATGTATACCCAGGGGTAGGAAAACTCTTGAAAAAATTATTAAAAATTAATCTACAGGTGGAGTGACGATTTGAGCAAGATGGCTGGCAGGAGCTGGATGCGAAAAGCCTATGTCCAGCAGTGGACTGCGATAGGTTGATGATGATGAAATTACATAAAAATATAATTAGGGCATAAAGTTCTCGGCAATAGGTAGCCAGTTTGAGTTACATGTATGTAACACTTACATATGTTTTTCCTTTGATTCTTCCACTTTTGTTCTTTTTGAGTCTTTTTTTAAGGTATACAGATGAAGGCATTACTGTTTACCTCTATTACATGTGTAGGATCAAATAATAGTCGGTACAAAGTATACCTCACCCGTTCGGGAATACCCACAAGTATTGTATGTATAAAAATATTGTTAAAAAGTTTTACGTCACACGTTAACTTCAATTTCCTAGAATGTACACTGTAGAACTTTTCAATTGAGGATTCTTATTCTTCAGTTCTTTTCTAAAACTGCCTACAACTTCTAGACCGTGGGTATTCAAGCCCCTGTGTTATTGTTATTGGTGTTAAACTTAAAAATGAGGCGGCAATGTGCAACGTTATTATTTACCAACAAATATTAATGATACGTCGTCGATTTACAAAAATATATTTATAAAAAAATATCAAACTAACGAGGATCCAACATGAGATCGTGTTATAGGCATGTCTTTGATCATTGATTGGGTAATACCTTATAGTACCTATTATTCCATATTAGGTATTAGTCTTAAGGTGTCCACTAAGATATCCTTGTCTCAATCATCATGATTTAGTCTAGGTATGCACTATGATTTTTTACTGCATCATCAGAATTTTAAATTGACAAAAATTATTTTGTCACAACAGCAGCAAAACATGATGTTATAGTGGTGTTTAAACTTCGGCAAAATGATCGTGGTGTGCGCCACGCCTTTCGATTCGCTTGACCCATAAGACCTGTTTTTTTATAAGTCTTAAGTCGGATTACAACTTGAGGGAAAAACTCCAATAAAACTCTTCTAAAATCTATCTTATGCATCTTCATGCCAACCATGATATATATTTTGAATTAAAGCATATTTATATAAATATAGCATATTACTATTAAAAGCCTTATATGCGTTGTACGAGCCTGGCCAGCAAGCTTCTTCTTGTAGGACATTGTATTGATGTTTTAACTTTCTCATTATTGCAAATATCTACAGCTTTAGGTTTGTTTATTATTTGTACTTTGCCGTTAACTAATAAATTCAATCTCACAGAAATTACAGTTGATGTAACTTACATTTGCTTACACTCTTCAAACCATTAGAATGACCAATAACCCTTGTCTTACATTGGCTTTCTTCTTTTCCCATTCTTCCATTCCCATTCCAGTATTAAAAAATTAGAAAAATAGAATTAAAGATAGAATGAATACTACCATAGGATTTTCTCCTATAATGTGAATGGACCAAATTCAAAGATGGATATTTATAAGCTTCTGATAATTCCCTAAATACAGGCTTGAGAGAGACAGTGTGTATGAAATATATACGACGAGATATGACGAGCCTGTTGGTCTAGTGGTTAATGGCCCTGACTGCTAAGCCGGAGGTCGTGGGTTCGATTCCCACCCAGGACAGGTATTTGTGTGATGAGTACGATCATTTGTTCTGTGTCTGGGTGTAATTTATCTATAATATGTATGTATTTAGAAATATATAAGTATGTTTATCAGCAGTCTGGTTACCATAGTACAGGCTCTGCCTAGTTTGGGATCAGACGGCCGTGTGTGAGATGTGTGAGGTTATTATTATTATATTTCAATTCATTTTCAGTATTCTGAAAGTCTCAATAAAAATACAATGTCCTACATACCACATCTACCTATTCTCTTTCTCCGTATATCTGAAATTATATTTCATCATCCAGATCGAACTCCTCTTCAGGGAAGTCACCCACCGTTACATAGATGGGTTTCACAAAGCCACCGTACTTTGGTGGGCATGTGAAATAGCGTTTGCCATTTACTCTGTAAAGAAAAAACAAGTGTTGGTTAATAAAACTATCTTAAAAACGACATGAATAGTATTGAACAAAAAACAAAATCTTTGTACAAAAAGTAAGTATTTTTTTAGTATTTGTGCTTCTATTGTGCTTATGATGTGATGTTTTTTATGATAGACGGGTCAGACAAGCATACGGGTCACCTGATGGAAAATAACCATTACCGCCCATGACCGTCTGCAACTAAGGAGTCACAAACGCGTTGGAGGCCTTTTAGGAAGGATTAAAATCTTTTCTTAAAGGTCGTATCGGTCCAGAAATACTGCAGACGATAACCCGTTCCACAGATTGTCTCGAAAAGCGCACAGTGGGCGAGCGCACACTATCCAGAATGATGGAGTTCAAGGTGTTTATTGAAAATTGATTATTCGTTTTTTTCCTATTGGTTTCTGCATCAAAAACAGCGCAAAACACGAAATTATCACTGTGGAAGCTTAAGGAATAAATTTTACCCCCTTTTCTGATTACTAAACTCATCATCCCTCTGTCGTCTTTCCAATTCTAGTTGGAGTAAAGTATAACATTGCAAATTATTTTGATTGGTTACTTTGTAATGTTATCTTGTTCAATTGTTATAATTGTGACTCCAAATTTTATAAGTTATTTTGCTTTATTTATTGAGAGATAATGTATTTGCACTTGAAGGAGGTTGTTTGGACTTGAAAAGAGATAATAATCCCTGAGTAATCGCTGAGTTTATTTCGTCCTTTCTTCGCAGGGCTAGTGCAGTTAGGAAAGGCCGAACTCATCTGTCTAAAAAAGTTTGACATGCAAGTGTTCTCGTAACCTGTTTGCAGAATAAACGATTTCATTTAATTTCAGATGGAAAGAATAAAAGAAAATAAGGAGTATCGATTATGGACAGGGTGAGGAAGTTAAGGTAATGGAATACTGGACTGGAGTAGAAGGGAAACGAGAATGTCTGATGGGATCGCGTACCCCTGTCCACCCATCCGCCGGGTCCAGCTATAGATGAACAAAGAGAACGTGTACTCACTCTCCGTCGTTCTTCCCGCGCGGCTCGTCGTACTGCACGCCGATCCAGATGCCGCGCGCGCCCTCGAGCGGCCCGTTGTACCGCACCGTGGCGCGCCGCACGCCCTGGCGCGGCACGCTCACCTGGCAGCGCGCGCCCACCAGCACCGCCTCTGCCAGCCTGGTTCATTACACAACAACTCATACATTGTGTATCAACTACTTACATCATCATCGACAGCCTTTAATAGTCCACTGCTGGACATGGGGAAAGTCCCTTACTCAATAATTTTATTGCATTTCACAATGTTTACTTAGAAGGTAACTTAAATATAAGATCAGTTCATCATGGACCCTGTCGGGCACAGCAATAGATGAGAGAGGGAGAGATAATACAAACTAACAATAATAATTATACTTCAGTTTTTTTGTAAACAGATGTTGATTTTTTCGTACGAATTTAGTCCCTTCTAAGGGTATTGGGCTTACTATGCCACCTTGCCCAGATGAGTTGGTATAGGGTGAGTTTCAAGTTTTTATTTTTCCTGCATAGTTTGCCCCCTTAGTCGGCTCTTACGACACCAGTGGGATAAATAGGGGTGGTGACACTCTGTATTCTTAATCCATTACCACACATGTGTAATCCTTAATTTATTTATATTATCAGCTATTCAAGTTGTCCTTTACAGCACTGGTACTTTTTGTGGTACATTATACATATTATACAAAGAAATCATTTTAAATTCATCAATTAATAGTTTCCACTTACTTGGCCTCATCCTCCAACTCTTTCTGCTGCTGCTCTTTCATTTTTTCCATTTCCTCTTCATTGTACTTGCCGAGTCTATTGCGTTGCAAAAATGAACGGAGAGTATCTCCCTTCTTCTCATACTCTTCCTCACTGAGGCGAAATCTGCAAAGAATTGGGGACAAGTCTTTAGTTTGGTTCGAGATAGATTAAGTACATCTTCTTCACCATACATTAGTTATTTTAGATCCTTATTGAAAACTAAGGTTTGCCTCTTGCTTTGCTCACATTATTAGTATCTGCCAATAATTCTGAGAGCCCTTGGAGAGCTGTATTTTGCGCAAAGCTGAACCTTTGAGCTGTACTTGAGAGCAAGGAATGGTCATCTGTCCTTAAGTCTATATGTGGAAACTGGAGCCCACCAATAAAACCAATACCCTCTATTTATTTCTTTGCCTGTGATAATGTGTATATGATCATTAGTTGGATACCTAACCAATGATCATATACACATTATCACAGGCAAGGCAATTATCACACACATTAAGGTTTAAAAGGGACAAAAAGCAAAACTAACTCTTGAATTTAAAATATTAGTTATAAATGAGAGCAAAGTTGCAAGTATACATTGACTCCCGTGGCTTTCTAGTAGTTTTACTGAAGTATAAAAAGCCTGTGTTGTTACGCATAAAGGACCACTCTTGACTCTAAATGCGGAAATCGGAGCCCACAACCAATACCAATATGCCTGTGTCGTATATTTACCTTTCAGCACTGTCACTAGCTTCAAAATCCTTGACAAGCATGAACTTGTCCACAACATGTATCCTCATGCCATCATCTATAGGATATGAGCCCAGAAGAGCATCATCCTTGTCGATGTCAGCCACATAATTGTTTTTCGAGTCATAAATCTTTAATTTCATTGTAGTGGCCGAGCCTCCTGTTACAAGTTCCAGTTTGGTCTGCATAAGACATTTTCAATAAAAGTATTTTAATAAACCACAAACAAGAAAAAAAAATTGTATGTTTTTTAAAAAAGATTCTGCTAATACAGAAGTAATACTGATAATAAAAAGTAACACAGAATCATTAAAACCAAGAAAAAGTAAAAAAACTATCAATATTAACTAATGCGTTGCAAAGCGTTTTCCAAAAACCGTTTCATTTGGTGAATCATTCTAACCTTAAATTCGCTAATGGTAATTGATTTCTTAAATCTTCTCTCAACAGGAGCTGCATCTTCATTGTCAGACTTTGTGATAAGTACATTTACAAAGTCTTGAGTAATTACTTGAATTCCTTCCATAGTTTTGCCGGATTACGTATCGAAAACAAATATTTGAGCCGACAGCTGTCAGGTTGTTTGTTTGTGAAAATAATTGATGAAGGAGAATTAGCGTTGGGCAATGGGATTTACTAAAGAAGTCATCGATGTTAAAAATGTACAGCATTTTCATTATCGAGTAGTAAGTAAATAATAACTCTTAGTACGGAACCAAATTTCTATAGATTTTCATTTATATGTAATTTTTTGTCTCTAAATATGTGTCGGTACCTACTGATTAATAAACAAGTACCTATTATATAAAATTGGTCATAAAAAGCTTAAGTTTTTATGTATAGTTCTAGTATGGATTATGTCTGAAATAAACTATTTGAATTTGAATTTGAATAGGTTTGGCAAATGAATTTTGGCAGTCCTTTCTACGTACTCATCTAGACCAAAGTTGCAAAACTTTATAAAACTCAATTTAATGACATGGAATATTCAGGCCCGGGGATATTGGATTGTGGTGAGTCAAAGCTGGTACTGATGTGGGTAAAAGGCTCTAAAAGCTGGTATTTGACAAAAAAAGTTGCTACAATCACAATAACGTTATATCACTAAAAATAATAATAATAAATCGTTTATTTTGTATGTTCTTTAAAATGAAATTTTGAACTAACGAAGAAATTCTTGTCATTTGAAAAAAAATTATACCTGATAAAAAAATAACAATAATAGTTTTTATTAATATGATGACTAATAATAATTATTCTCATTACTCGTTGTCGTACGTTGACGAGTATTACAAAAAAATTGACGAAAAATAAATATCACTATGAACAGAGTTATGAACATTAACAGTTACACGTTGGGTAATAACTAGTTTAAAATTAGAGTAAATAATCTGTCGAGTGAACGTGCAACCTACACCAATGTCAAAAAAATAATAATAATATGTGCGTATCATATATATTTATATATATATATATTATTTAATTTTATAAAAATTATAAAAGTTAAAGCCTAATGTAAAGTTTAAAAAAATTGAGTTACTGCTATTTTGAATTTTGTTTGCGACTGTGCCAAAATGTCAACATTGACAAGGTGTGTGTTGTACGTTTCCACAATGTAACGGAGAGGAGCCCGTACACCGGCATTGGTTCTGTATTTACCAGTGTGAAACAGCCGAGGTACGTGCTCCTCGCGCCTCAATACAGTTCTAGGCACCACATAACACAACTGATTAGTGATGCCGCTGCAATCAAACTTATTACATTTGCCATGTAATGTCATACGCATCAGAAATTTGCGTCTAGACTTCAGGCTTAATAAATTGTATTCTACAAAAGGATCTTGATAGGGGAATTTAGAGTGGTGAAATTTGTAGTGTATGGTTCTTAAAAACTTCTTTTGAACCATCCCAAGTCTTGTTACATACTTGTCATAAATAGGATCCCAAATCGGAACCGCAAAGTCTAGTTGAGATCTTATATAGGAGTAGTAAAGTAGACGGGCGCCTGAAATCTTTGAAAGATCTCATAACAAATCTATAAATTTGAAAAATATTACTTATAATATTTATGATAAGAGAAATTCCATCGAGCACACTCAACTTATGAATATCGAGGAAAAGAATTCTTTACGCACTGATTTCGGGGTGAACACGTTTGCCGGCATACAGCCTTGGCCTCGCGGTATGGTCGGCGGTACGTTTCCCACGTCATCCAAAGTCGAGTTGGATGCATAAGCCAATGAATTAAATAGGATAGTCTACAGAAATTCTCCTGCACAGCCTTGGCAAAAGACCAAAATGCACGAGTTCCAGAAGGAAGTCTCACTAGCCTCTTACCAATCCGGCTGATGTGCTCCGATTTTGCTCTGGAAATTTTTAGCGTTCTCGTATTAACATTACCTACCATCGCTGCATTAGCCCATGCTTGGTAACATTCCTGCTTTCGGCGGGACACAATTTTGCAAATCGAACCTGTCGAAACAAGGCTTGGATCTGCCACCGATGGGAATTAATATAGATGGAACGAATAGTATATGTAATTTCTGTTATTAGTAATAAAGTCTGTTAAGTCGTTAGAAGGTATTAGATTAAGGTATTTCGAAATCAATGTGTAGTATGTTTAGGTCAGTTCGTGGTCTGCAGTAATACAAGCCATCCTACCTTAGCTAGGTAGACAAAAGGGTAGTTGCTGTCATGTTTAGTAAGTAGAACGATACCGCAGAATGTTGTAACAAATAAAGAAAACGAAAGGATACAAATAATTATTTTTATTGATAAGTACAAAAAACTGTAATACATGAGTTACAAAATAAAAATATTGAGTGAATTTACACATTTGATTAAAAATAGACATTTACTATGCCACACTGTGCTACGATGACTAGAGATTTGTTACTGAAGACTAGACTAAGTAGATATCCGAACATTTACATAGCTTACACGTATATTGATTAGATGCTAAATTAAAAATGACTATTATTTACAAAACAAAATAATTTAGGCGTTCAAACACACAGACTATTTACTATTTATGGACACCAATGTACTTTTTACCTATACCTCTATGTATTATCTGTATTAAGATTTTTAATTATAATATTTAAATATTTTTTATCTATGGCAGTTGCATTAATTTAAAAAAAAAAACCAAAAACTTCGTAATATTTTTAAGTTGTGACAGCTTTTATTTGTGTTTTCTACAAGAAACCTATTTTAAACCAGTGTTAATTATAATCTAAGATAAAACAGTTGACTATTTATTAAAAATGAGTTAATAGTCATTGGTTCGCCTAGAATTGGCGGGCAATGATGGGGTGATAAAAAGCTATGCGTCACATGAATGCTGTGCCCCATTATGCTAACGTCGTCTGCACACTAGCATTTTTTTGCTGGTAATAGAATTCAATCTGTAGATAATCATTAAGGTGTCATATCTTATAATATTACTGCTATTTCCTCCCAAGTCTCGATTTACATCCAATATTAAAACAATGAAAAAATGGAAAAAAATGTTGTCGTAACTGTGTGTGTGTACACTTTCCCTTATATTCTTTGATACATGAATTTCCACTAAAAGCATTAAAAATAATGCTAGGTAATTATACAGCTTCTGAACTGCGTGCTTTGAACAAACAGTTTTTAAGTGATCAGAGCTAACTTAAGAAACTGCAATAATAAGACTATGTTAAAGAAAACAAAATCCAAGCTTAAACATCACAATGTCAATTTTAAAAGCATACTATGTAGTCCTGAGAACCAAAACACTTCAGAAAACAGTGGTCCTTAAACGAGACGATCGATATTTGAGTTCTCAATCGATTGCCAATCGTAATCGACATCGGTTGTGTTGGCGACGGAGAATACCGCGCCACTTTCGGTTCAGATGGCCGATTTCTCCGGATTGTTTGCATCGCTCACTCGTCGGGAGTGTGGGGCCCTCCGCAGAGTGCGAGGCTGGAGGTTCAAAGGGGGCAGGTTTGGGCGTTCGATCCTCGTTGGGGAAGATACTAAAGGTCGTGTTCCACGTCGCAGGGTATCTATTCCGTTTCGGAAGTAGTCTTCAGTTCTGTCGCTGTAGCTCTCGATCAAGGGAGCAGGGTCTTCATATTCCACGTTAAAGTGACGCGTGATCGTCAAGTCTTCTGGAGGTCCGAGTTTGTAGAGAGGGGGCTCCACGCATTCATAATGATGGTCTTCGGTTTCATCGTGAGGGTATGTATCAGCGACGAAGTGTCTGGTTCCCCTAGGGGTCAAAGCTGCCCATAAGACGCGGGAGTCCAAAGCGGCTCCTCCATATAATGCATTAGAACCGGATGCTTTGCCAGTTCCACTTTTGCACCCTCCGCGGGCCCTAAAAAGCAGAAAATTTGTTAGCAAGAAGATATTAATAAAACTCATTAAGGATGTTGTACAGATGTTTAGATAAAGTGCTAAGAAAGAGTTTAATTCTTATTTCTTCAATTGCCTCTAAATATTTTATGGAATGGAAGGTATGGAAGATTTTTGTTTCAAAAGACAGGCCACGCTCTTCCTAGGTTCTCATTTTTCGTTTTTATTAAATTAGGCAATGAGCACGCTGCAATACAGGCGTTTCGTAGTTTCGTTTAATAAATATACCTTAACAAAACGATTAATTAAAATATTTTGGTGATATATTGATCCCTATTTTTACCCCGCCACGTACAGCGTCCGTGTGGTGACGGCCATTCGTGTGGCGACGGATTAAGAATATGGAGTGTCACCACCCCTATACATCCCATGGGTGTCATAAGAGGCGACTAAGGGAGCAAACTACGCAGGACAACAGCACTTCAAAGAGAAGGAAAACTTGAAACAAAGCCTTGTGGTATGGAACCGCCCTTCTAAGGAGAGGCCTATGTCCAACAGTGGACTATTAAAGGCTGTTGATGTGTGAGATGTGACACAGTATGTTCAACTCTACTCTTAGCTTTAATAATTCTTCTCAGACGATCAGACGGGTCACCTGATGGTGACTTTCACCGCCCATGGACATCTACAACTCAAGAGACACAAGTTGCCGCTGTTTAAGCCCACCCTCCAGAAGGTAGGGGGTTTGGTTTATTACCAGTTGTCTATGAGGTCGTGGTATAACATCGGTCTAGTAGGCCCATATCTGCCGAAGTATGGCTGTTCTACCCATTTAATATATGATCTATAAAGTTCAAAGTATATAAGTAATCTATTTACTCTCTGCATTTAAGAAGAAATAGTGCCAGTAAAGCAGCTATACACAGAACGGCGATGCAGCAAGTGATGAGTACCAGGAACCACGTGTCGTCGTTTGCAGCGGGCTCTGGAACAAAAGCTGTAATATATAAGATTCAGTTAAAATACCAGGACGGAAAGAGTGAGGCATTACTGTACTATACGGCCACAGAATCAGAAGTATAAAAGGCAATATGGGAGAGCGTTCGCGCCAAAGTTATGAGCTGACGCTCACAACTACAAGAAATATATGCAAAAATTTTCGCATTGGCTTATGGACATTCATTGGGAACGCATCAGAATGATACGAGTAGCTCAACAATTATGGGCAAATTCGTGATAAATGCGTTTGATAAAAAAAACAGGACTAGTGTGTTCAAGGTACGTACAATTTTTCAGAGGTAATTATGTATATCTACAAGAGTACGCAAGAAACTACTATTTACTTAGTCACTATTAAAAAAATAAATCAAATTACTCAAATTTACATAAAAACAGTTTTGTTTTATACGAAAGTTGTAATTTACTTTAAGTCTCAACTTCAATTGGAAATCTAGCGTACTTGCTAATATCATAAAAAACATATCCTTTAATTAAATAGGTATTGAACTGACCTATACACTGCTGTTTTGGTTTTTATTATCATTTGATCAAAAACAATAACTATCGAAAGCATTTATAAGATTTTTCAGAGGCTGTTTTAGAAGTATATTAAATTCAATTTCTGTAAAACCTCACCGTGTCTAGGCAGCTCGTGGTACTCAACTCCGGGGAATATGGAGTTGTCTTCATTATTCCTGTTTGGTGGGCACTTTGAGGCGCGGCATGGTGGTGTTAGGTTGGCTGCGTTCGCCAGGAATGCTGGCAGCGGCGGTGGAGGCATGTGCAGGATGGAATCCGGCGGTGGGCCTAGCGAAAGGCATTCTGCACCGCAAGCCATTCTAAACATACAAAATAATGATTACTATTCTGGCACGTATACTGTGTTGTGTGTGTACCTACTCGTATTTTAGGACACCGATTTTGTTTTTGTAAATGCATACATATCTATGTGTATTTATTAAAATGTTAAGTAGGTTTGTGTACGCGTCAAAAAGCTAAAAAGTTCTGCATCGATTGAGCTCAAACCCAATTAATTAGTGATCTATCTGGTATTCGAGTGCAGAGTTAGAGGAACATATTTGAGAAGATCTGTGTACTAAAATATATAAAAAGAATGGGCTCTTACGTTTGTGACAACTCAATGTGTAAGTGGAGATCATTTACTGTACCTACCATGGGGCAAAATAAACTAACTTTACTTATGATGTTGGAAATTCTTAAAACCAGCATCTTCAGATTCAATTATCTGTGGATTGGCGCGCAATTCGAAATTCAAATAAATTTCATTCGAAAGCCCTGTTATTTTGTTTTTGTTCATTAAAAAAAAACAAAAAAAAATCTTTCGTTCTCCTTTCTTACTTGATAGTGTTTTGTTTTTGTGAATTGTAGTAGTTTTTGGCGCCATAGATAAACTGAAAATTCGAATTATTTTCGAAAATGAGTCCCTACGTGGAAATACCGCAGCGCAAACAAAAACATTAACGACGTGTACGGGCCTAACAATGATATCAGCGAGAATTACGCGTCGAAGAATGCATAACACTATTGAATCGGCATAGAAGCATCGAGGGAATTCTCAATCGCATTGTTACTTACGATGAAAAATGGATCCTGTACGACAACCGTTGGTCTCAGTGGGTAGAGTGGGTAGATCAGTACGCTATAAAACAGATTACCCACAGTAAGATGATGGTGAGTGTCTGGTGGACCAGTGCCGGACTTGTACATCACAGCTTCTTACCGATTACCGAATGGCACACAGTTACAGAAAATGATTGACATTAGATTTGTTTTTTGACTGTCATATTTAATTATTTTTATTGTTCAAATGTATTTTGTGGATGTTAATTAATTCTACTATTATTTATGTATTCTAATTAATTGATTGCATTCTAATTCCTCTCAAAATGTTAATTAATTTATTATATTTGATTTAATTTAAGTCATTGCTTTTCGTATTTTAATTATAACCATTAAAGCACCTAAATGAAAAATTTGTACACCAGAAATTGTAGAATGTAAGAAACGAATGAAGAATCCCAAGATTTGTTAACATAGTTGGTTAGTTAAAAGCTAAAAAGTAATAATAATAGTAAATATAATAACATGAATGTTTAAGAAAAAAATGCACCTCAAACAGTTATCACACAAAGAAAAGACCAACAATAAAATTAAGGACAAGACGTTGTGATTACAGCACAACAATGAGTACTAATTACAAAACACAAAAACGTCAATAAATAAACTCACTTTTCACTGTTATTTATATTCGTTTTCACACAAAACAATATCACTTTACACAGGTTCCGTGTTACACTTGCTAAAACTTTGGTCCATCGGATGCAAGGCGCAGGCGCGACCTTGTACTATGACAGTTACAAGCCACTATCAAAGTAAATGAGAATTTATTTTATACTTATTTCATAGCCGTCTCTAGAAGATGTGTTAATTTTGTGTGTCAACTAAAACAGCAATGGTTGCTACAGTGCGATTTTTTTACGTCACTTTGACATTAATGAATAGTAGCTTGGTGAGAGGGGAATTATTGATTCGCGCAAGCGCGGGAAGGGATCTGCGACCCTTGTGTGAAGGGTATGAGTGAAAAGATATGAATAGGAAGTTATTGAATATTGTTATCTCAGTCTTTTCTATTAAATTCAGATATTAATGAAGAGTTTAGACGATACTTGAAATCTGGTGACAGAAACTGCGATTTTTATCTATGATACGTGCGCAAATAAGGGTTATTAGTTTGAATAATTCCATAAAACGAACGATGAAGCTATGTACTCATATCTCGAAAGCTTAAACCTCCAATATCATTTAAAAAATTATTAAGCTGTACTGAAAAGTTTTGATGGTCTGTCTATGTACTCTTTGATTTTGAATATCAAAGTTTCAAGTAGTAAATAAACCTATTCTTGTTTTTACTATTTTACGTGCTATATATAATTATTTTTGTTTCCTGTTTCGAAATAAAAGTATCCTTAGTTTATCTATTGTTACATCAAATATCTGTAACTCTTGCTGAATATTATCCAAGACAAACAAAAAGGCTGTAAAAAATAAAAAAGTAAATGTTTTTTGTGGTAATTAAATAAAAAAATCTACATTTAGTAAAATGCTGCTATTATGACATTTCAAACGAAAGTTAATTTTTTTTTTAAATTTAAAACACAGGAGCTATCTCTAGTCCTAGAATAGATTATAATAGTCCAGTATTCTAGCGTAGTCTGGTATTAAAAAATAGGCGGGTAGACCCCGAAAGATGGATACTGACCAAATTGGCAATTTAAAAAAGGGCCTTATTAAAAGCTGATGTAACCAGCGAAATTGTATAAAAGGCCTGAGGATCGTCCAAGAGACACCAGATATATGACACGGTACGGTATGGACGACGTGAGAGTACGCACACGGCAAACGAAATATCTGGTCAGTATTATGAAGTACCTGTTACTATTACCATCCGTGTGGTGACGGATTAAGAATACGGAGTGTTATCACCCCTATTCGCCCTGTGGGTGTCTTAACAGTCGACTAAAGAAGTAAACTACACAGGACAACAGCACTCCCAAGAGAACGAAAACTTAACACAAACTCTATACCGTCTGACCAGTGTGGTATAGTAGGCTAAAACCTTCTTTCTAAGGAGAGGCCTATATTCATTAGCTTTGTTTTTTATTTTTTTTAAAAGTTCACTAGCAACCGAAGTTACTAGTGTATCCGGTAACCCCTCCTGCTAAGCTAAATTGCTTGTGTTAGGAGTGGGTTTACGTCGGTAGTGTACTGGTCAGGATTCGAACCCACGACCTCTTGATCGCAAGTCGCCTTAACCGCTTGGCTACCGTCGCTTGTAGCTGTAGTAGTTGACTAATAAAGGCTGTTGATGTAACGTATAATAATATACCTACTGGAATAACACACACTTGTAAACCTGGCCTAGTACTTATTGTATATGTATTATTTATTAAAAAATATTCTAATTTAATTAATATAAGTACTCTGGGTATATGATATCCTAACAAAAAAAACATGCAACCGTATTAAGAATCTCCCGCTTTCTTAAAAAAAAAAAGAAATGAATAAAATACACATACATATACTCACACGCAAAGACTTTAATTGTGCGATCTAATACCGGCCGCAACTTTCCGCCATCGTTCCACACGGCAAAATTTTCATCCCCACCACCTGGATAAATGGCGCTCGACTACTGTGCGCTTTTCGAGACACTTTTTTTCACACTAGTGTTAGTGACAAATCTTGCTAAGGACGCCCAAAATCTCGACAACTAATTCTCGAAGATCGTCATGTGATGTATCTAGAGATAGAGGCTCTATTAGGCATCTCAGGGACAAACATTCAGAAGATCTTGCATGAAGCGCTTGGTGTGAGAAAGCTAGTTTGCCGTTGCATACCGCATCTGCTTTCCGACGATCACAAGGCGGCCCGCGTCAGATGGTGTAAGAAAACTCTGCAAAGGTACAACCGAGGAGAGTCAAATCACGTCTACGACATCATCAGTGGTGACGAATCTTGGATCTATACCTACGATCGTGATTCCAAACAACAATCTATAATCTGTTCGTTCTCGAAGCACTTCAAAGAAGATGGTGGCCACGTTCGTTGGAAAAACCGACCATGTTGCGACTATTGCACTTGAAGATCGTAGAACGGTTAACGCAGAGTGGTATACCACAGTTTGTTTACCACAAGTCATCTCCGAACTTCGAAAATCTAACTCAAAGCGACGCATCATCCTGCACCACGACAACGCAAGCCACACAGCACTCGTCAAACGATTGAGTATTTGAAGCAGGAAAAAGTAGAAATTCTTGACCATCCTCCATACAGTCCTGACCTAAGCCCTAACGATTTCTTTACATTTCCTAAAATTAAGAAGTCTTCGTGGTTAAAGGTTCCAATCCGGTGAAGAAGCAGTCGACGCTTTCAAGTCAGCCATTTTGAACACCCCCAGTTTAGACTGCAATAAATGTTATAATAACTGGTTTGAGCGAATGGAAAAGTGTATTAAGCTACGTGGTGAATAATAATAGGAAGGATCCGGGAACTGCTGTCATTAAGACATCCACACAAAACCAGGTGTACCCTAGGAATACTCGATTTCCCACTATATCATGATATCTAATCGGAAGACCTGAACCGGAGGTTCAAAATGACAATGTTTTTATTTTTATGAATGTTATTGCATATTAGTAGTTAAATAATGCAAATCTGGCAATTCAATTATGCAAAAGGATTTATCGGATTATTCGCATAAACTAACACGTGAATTGACGTTTTAAAATATAATAACTCGTCACTTATAAATTCAATTTAAATATTATGTAAATTTACTTCAAGCGTCCCAAACGAATTTGCATATTTTAATTTAATTTATTTTCGCTCTAAACACTTTTATCAAACAACATTATTCTAGAATAATCTATATTACGACCATAAATAACTTTGAGAAACAGCGGTAAAACCAGACTAAATGAACGAATGATTGAGTGTATGACTTATTTAATTTTTAACTCTCGTCAGTTTCGACACACGAAAGAGGGATGTTAAAATTCAAGTTTTTAATTTGTGTGTCTGCTTGTATCATGGTTAATTTTCGAATGAACCGATTTTGATTTAAAGTTAAATATTACGGGCCTGTTGGTTTAGTGGTTAGTGACCCTGACTGCTAAACTGGAGGTCGTGGGTTCGATTCCCACCCAGAACAAATATTTGTCTGATGAGCACGATCGTTTGTACTGTGTCTGGGTGTAATTTATCTATAATATGTATGTATTTAGAAATATATAAGTATGTTTATCAGCAGTCTGATTA